ATAGATGCGCACCACGTTTTAGGTTTTTTTTTTCTTTTTCAAAACGTGGTTTTTTAGATTAATTTTTTAATCTACTAAATTTTGAAGGTACACTAGTCTCAGCTTTTATTTTACAGTTGAACCTCCCAAAGTCGAATTTCTCCCTAAGTAATTTTTTTATGTCCCTGACTGATTCCCTTAGAATCAATGCATTGAAAACCTTCCCAACTCAAAGTATTTTTCTCGAAAACTTCTTTGTCAAACTGTCTGAGAACTTTTAGTTATTATTTCCTTGGAAAACAAAAGAGGAAATCATTAAAACAAATGATTTAATGCATTTTGAAATGAAGTGAAAGATTAATAGAGCAAATGAACCTTCAAGTTTAGTAAGGTGTGAACTCATTAATGAGAAAGTTTATGGTCAGAATATCCTCATTTATGATTTCCTACACTATTTTTACTTTTGGCAACAGAAGTATTTGTTTCCTACTTTCCTTAACTGGAAACCTCCAGAAATCAAAACCTCCCCAAGTCGAATTTTTCCTAGTCCCGAGAAATTCGACTTACAGAGGTTCAACTGTATATGATTTTCGAATAGTTGAGGGGAGAACGTCGATATCCGAAATGAAGGTTTGAATCACCCGAAGTTATCATTTTTAATTTGCAGCGTTTAAGACTTTGATTTTCTCTGTGATGTTTCATATGCAGTATATGCTCAAAATCTTGAAATTTCTTTGTGTTATTGCTCAATTCCATCAGCATTATCATGTGTAAAGGATTTTCAGTGCCGTTTTCCCCCGTTTTCGAGTCGTTCAACGATGGTTGTTTTCATAATCCAAGCTCGGGCTCCCATCACCGATTTTCAGCGTGAAAAAGATTTCAAGCACGTCGTTGAAATATTTTCTTCGGACTGAGAATCGATGTTCCTCACGAACGTGTGCTTCTCTCTGTGTGTGTGATGTCCACTTATCGCTTACTTCCGTCAGCATTTCTTCTGATTTTTATGAGGAATTTCATTCTCTTTGTTTTATTTTGGCTGTAGTTCGCTGTTACCTGCGTGTTGGCAAACAAAAAAGGTTCCTTTTTGTTTTATGTCTGCGTTTTTCACCTGATTTTTTGGATGCTAGTTTTTAGTGACTTGTGTTGTCATTGGGGTGTGTGACCGTTGACACGCTTTGCTGCACCGAGCTTCTGTCGTCGCTTCCGCTCGCCCCGCCTGTTCACTTCCCCATTTCTATTTCCGATTGAATGGTACTAACTTTATTGTGATGTTGCAGAAAAATTGAACGAAAAAAAAAACTAGGAACTAATGGCTGTAGCGGTCAGAATGTGTGTTCTAGTGAAAGAAAAGTCTGCGTTGTGAATGAAGTGTTCTCTTTTTGCGAACCCCGTTTGCACATTTGTGTGAAATAAGTTCCATCCGCTGAGCGCTTGAGCTGATTTTTTTTTTCAAGGTTTTTGCCTCGTGACATGTGTTGCAGCAGGGTGTGGCAATTGTAGTTCGTGTTTAAAATTTTATTGGAATTCAGATCAGGCTCGAGGACATCAGTGACCTTGATTTCCTCGGGTCACTGGGTACTGTATCATCATGTCTCCGTTTCCGTTGGATCATGACGAATACGCAGAGCAAAAGAGAGAATTCTTCAAATTGGTATATTTTGGTTAATTGATTTTTGAAACCCTGCATAAGGCAATCAATTTCTGATTACAGTACTGTAAAAGGAAACCGTTAATTATTTGTTTTTACCGATAGCCCTTCTTCCATTTGAGGGTCCTGTGATTTATTTTTTTTACAGCGCAGTAGCCTGTAGTAATTAAAATTTTCTCAGCGCCGAGATTTCTCATGAACGGAACAAATGTGCAAATGGAGGTTCAAGCTTGAAATAAACGAAATATTTGAGTTAATAATTACGAAAGCTTTTTAATGTGAGTAAAAGTTGCGGCATTCTGACAGCTGAAGTGAACATGTCCATTTCAATTTGGAATAAAGTAGTAACTGTTTTAGTTGAGCCAAAATCAAATAATTAGTTTACTGTATACTAAAAACATATACAGTATTGTGCTAAATATATTTGAGGAAGATCGAGAGCGAATTGTCGAGCTTTGTGATTTATGCACACCCTCTGCTTCTCTCACCATCTTGGCACGATGTTCTTTTGTATTACTGTAGTAGATTATGAGCCGTCAAATTTACCAAAACCCAAGAATTATAAGCTGATCATCTAGTTCTGTGCTTTCCCCCGCACATATTGTACTGTACTCATAACATCTGATTTTCCCATAATGTTTTTCGTTGATGAAAGATAACCGCTAAAATGTCGTTTTTGAAAGGCGCACAGTTTTTAATCTATATGGAAAAGCAGATGGACGGCCTTAGTCACTGGTAGATTTTCTGTCCTTCCTTTAATAGTTTCCTCGCCATCTTTTTTTCGCTTGATTTACTGTGCTTGTGAATTATAAAGCTTTTAAGTGTCCCTAAGTTCGAATTGTCCGTATGTCGGGGTACCTCTGTACTATGATGGTGAGGCTTATTACCGTGTTTATTCAAGTACCACGCGCCCTCAAATGTGACACGCTTCGGGGTTTTTTAGTTGAAATATTAGATAAAATATTAATCCCCGAGGAAGACGCTTATACCGTTTTGAGTGACTAAAACCACGATACTTTTGAAAATGAGTGATCCTAAATATTAATTTCTGCATGAATTTGACAAGTTTTCGATTAAAATGTGTTTTTCTGTTGAATTTTGGTTGAAACTTAACCTTTACAGCATATATATATATATAATGCGCCCTCAAGTTTCTAGAACGTTTGGAAAAATGTAGATCCTGAAAATGAGTGATCCCAAATATTAATTTATGCATGAATTTGACAAGTTTTCAATTAAAATGTGCTTTTCTGTTGATTTTTGGTTCAAACTTTACCATTAAATAAAGAATACTGCGCCCTTAATTTCCTAGAACGTTTGGAAAAATTTAGATCCTCGTTTTTTCCTCTCAAATTTGAGAGAGAAAAAGGTGCGCGTGGTACTCGAGTAAATTCGCACGGTACAGTACTGTACTGTTCATAGTTTTTGAGTCATGGCGAATGAGTCAGATGAACGAGCTCTGTGACGTTTGTTCACGAGTCCCGTCGTGAAGTTACATGACCACTTGTGTTTTCCATCCATTCCCCCGACCTCATGTGCCATTTTGAAACGCAGCACGCGATCACGAAATGGCGGGCGGGCAGCGGGATCTGGAGCGGCGTGGACATGCGGTCAGGCGGGCAGCGTTACTTTTGCGGCCTTTGCGGTCGCTCGTCCAGCATCAGCCCGTACAACATCCAGGTCCACGTTCGGCTGCACACTGGCGAGCGGCCGTTTGTGTGCCCGGTCTGTGGCCGGTCGTATGTGGACAAGCGCCCGATGCTGTCCCACATCCGCAAGGCCCACGGGCATCTTCAGCCCTTTGCGCCGGTCAAAAGCGAGGCTGCTTCCCCGTCGTCGTCCGAGTTGTTCTTGCACTGACGAGTACTCCGGGGTTTACTGATCCCGCAGGAAAAGGGACGGGACGGGGTGTGTGATATCTGTGGCGAGATTTGATGACTGCTGGCGGATTATTTTTTTTTTCTGCCTCTCTTTCCTTTTTTGCTTGTTCCTTTGCTTGTTTGTTTGTTTTTGGAGGCTAACCAGTGAGTGCGAAACGAGAGTTTTGCGCTCTCGACAAATTATTCAATGCATCTTGAAGGATTTTTTTTGTCGTTGTTGATCCAGACGACTTGGAATTCATCTCCAGCGAATTGTGAACAGGAAGAAGTTTCTGTTTCAAAGTCCGCTTCAGTTCGTTATTAGACTGATCAGTGTCAAGTTGGCATTTCAATTAAGTTTCCTAAGTTCAATGGGTGAATTTCTGTTCTACGCTGGAAGGCATAACCACTGATGTAATGTGCCGTGATATTGTTTTAATCTGGATTTTAAATCCAATGAGATGTATTCCAATGATCGAAGTTGGATAGAGATCAGTGCTAACCATTAAGTCTATATCGGGTTTCCGAAGAGTTACTGTGCCTTGAGGGATTTAGAGCAGTGCTGCCCAGCGTACGGCCCGTGGGCCGGATCCGGCCCGCAGGGATGCTTCACGTGTATTGCAATTCCTTCAAAGGAGTTTTCAAGGTGGTGTCTGCCACTTATCAGTATACTGTACATCAAATGAAATTTAATTTGAAAATAGGTAAATATTTCAAAAATTTTGCAATGCCATCTTCGTGAATCATGGCATAGAAATCAAATAAATTTTAAGGTTCACGTAAAAGGGAAATTTGCTGACTCTTGGAAATAAATTTGCTATGGACGCAGTTCCCGCAAGCGTTTGAACGCATGACAGCTATTTTTAGAAGAGGTCTAAAAAAAAGTGCTGATGTGACCCTTGGCTTCATCTGAGTTGGGCAGCACCGATTTATCGTATAGATGTCACTGGTAGTCAGGAATGGATTTAATTTTTTTTTACTCAGGATGATTCGTCTGTAGCATTTGTTGTTGAACTGTGACTGGTTCCGTAAAGCGTAATTTTTATCGAACGTTTCGATTCCAAAAATTCTCCTGAGCACACGAACTTTTTCGGAAAACCGGTGAATAACTCTTTATTTCTAGTATTGTACATTGACTGGGTCCGCATCCCGAAAATTTGTCGTCTTGGTGCGTCGCAGTTTTTTTCCTCGATTGTAACTTCGCTGGTAAAATTTGTACTGTATAGCAAACTGGAATTCCGTCTCTTGATGCGAAATATTCTGCGGTGTATGAAAATAGGCGTATACCTCTGTGTAAATGATGGCTTGACCCGACGAATTGGCCGTGTACAAAGTGATCCGAGTAGAAGTGCTTCCATTGACGCCCGCGTGTCTGGTTCTTGGATGATGTACCAGAATAGGCAACTGTTTTTTTTTTTTTCTTGTTTACTCTGCCGAAAGAGGCGTTGGTTAGTATTATTGTTAAGAAATTCGAAGTGATGTTGCATTAGTTAACCTCGGGGTTAGGAACTTAGCGTCATTTTTTTTTATGGACGCGTATTTCATAGACGCCTCATGTTCGTTCGTTTTTTTTTTCTGATCGATGGTTGAATGCTATCTGGAATAGTGATGCTTGTGCCAATGTTTTTACAAGGTATTTTCTAAAGTTCTTGGCGCTAGACCCGGAAACGAGCATCTCACAGCCATGCAAGCATTTTTCTCTAATTTTTTGGGGACGTTTTTTCAACGTATTTTTAACTCCCATTGGCTCACGACGTGAAATGCAAAAAAAAAAGCAAGCTTAGATCCTGAACAAAACGATGCTTTTTTTAGTAGAGCAAAAGATCTTTTTGCGTGTGTCTTCAAAATTGGTGCTCAACACACGACTTTCGTAAATCAAATTGTGAAGATGTTGTTTGAACTGAAGTCGGAGAATTGAATATTTTAAACACGAAGTCCTGTAAATGGCAAGATGTCCGATTGAAGGGGAACATTTGCACATCTCTTGCTTTTGAAATCAATTCTGGGCCGCCCTGAGAACTTGAGAATCTCTTGTATTCGAAAGCTTGTAAGTTTTTCTCTAATTTTTTTTTTAGAATGCAAGTTTCAACCGTTGTAATTTTTATGCGAGATGCGTATATTTTGGAATACGTGATGGCTGAAATCCGATTCTCCTTGCTGCAAAGAAAAAAGACTTTGTATTCGATATCAAGAGAAGTTCCCCCACATCCTCGTGTGCTTGTGAAAAATGCCCTTCATTCGAATATCGTAAGAAAGTGTGGGGCTTTCAAAGCCGTAACATGTAGGAATCGAATCTCTCTTTTTTTGTATTGGTTTATTTTTTCACCGAGTGACGATATCTCGGTAATATCGCAGTAGGCAGGCAAAGCCACAAATTTTTGTTTATGAAACCGACAGAATGCCTGTCATCATCTTCGAAATACAGTGATACCCTGAGATGCGGGCGTAATTGGTGCATCAAGAGTGTCCCTAAGTCGAGTATCATTTTCCCTTAGACTTACATTGTATCATTTTTAATTGGTGTTTTATGGACAAAATACTCACCATAATTCCATGAAAATAAAAATTGTCTCCCAATGGAAACTGATTCAATCAATATATTTTAACGCAATATGGACATTTGGGGAATTGAATACTGATACCTCTGTACAGTACATAGAAATGTTGGCATTCTCTGAAAAAATAACATTCAAGTGAAAAAGAGAGAAGGAAGTCCCTCTATGCTGGAGGTAATTTTTTAAATTAGCTAGATGGATGGTAAATTGGTGAGAGAAATACCCAAGAACTTTTCTTACATCAATTTTAGGGTTGGAAATATCTGTTTCTTTAATTTGCCGTGAAACAATATTTGCGATTTCATCACAAAATGTCCCTATGTGAAGTCAGTGTCCTCATGTTGGGCCTTTTTTTATTCATTTTTTATGGGAAAATAAGTGTCCTTTTGTTGAATTGTCTGCATGTGGGGGTCTCACTGTATAGCAGCTTTTTTAAACCATAGAAGAAAAAAATGATTAAAGAAATGCTTCCTAGGGTGGGCATTGATCCTACGCTTCCTTTGTGATTCCATATTTTGAATACTTCCCGTGTTGAGATTACAGCGCGTCACTTGCTCAGTTCTTTTTTGGATACCTGGCAGCTTTTGAGGTCTTGTTGGATTCTAATTTGCATATGATTAAGGGCTGTGTACCGTACTACAACAAAAGGCGCTTTTGTCTCCCACTTTGACGTGGCCTCAAGGTCAGAAACTTGCGAGGTTTGATTCAGAAGTTCTGTCCGATTCTCTTAATGGTGTCTTCTTGGATGGAGATGAACCTAATTTTTTATGAAGTACAGTAGTAATGTGTTAAGTACTGTGTGCGGCACAAATGGAACAATTTTTGCTTTCGAAGTTGAAGTGGAGGAATAACAAAGAGTTGAAAGCTCATTCCGTCTACGGGCACAATCTCCTTTTACAACGATTATCTCTATACAGTATAATGATATGCAAAAATATTCTCTCTTTAACGATTTCGTGAATTTTGTTGTATAGAGAGAGTGTATTTTTATATGCCAAAATTAAGTTCATTTGCCGTATCCAAATTATATTTACTTGCGGCTTGGATGCCACGAACGATTTCAATTGATAAAAACGTTTCGGTGATCTCACTGCCGAAAACATTTTTACTTTCGAAAATTCTCAGCATGTCTATTTTTTGAAGTTATTGATGCTACTGTAAATGCGAAAGTGGTTTCTGTCAAATGCCAGTTGACGAGCAGGAAATTTTCTTGGTTAGGACTGCTAAAAAAATCCTTAGCGAATATAAATCGGATTGTTTTCGTTTGTAAATGTCCACCTAAAAAGATCGGCAACTTGGAAGAATTTCTAGGTACTGAACTGGTGACATTATGAGCATTACCTCGCACGTTTCTGTTCTGTATTTTTCTGGGCATACCCCTGGTGAGTTCACGAGAAAAATACTTGTGTGTGAAAGGTTATTGGCCTTGGAATCCTGGTTGGCCGCCTACTGCGATACGGCTCATTACCTCCCCCGAACTTCCACAGCAAATTTCACTAAGGGCACTTAGCTACACTTACTGTAAATTTAGTCGTTTGTAGGTTCAATTGCAACCCGCTGGTTTAGATTTCAGTATTGATATTCTAATATTTATTAGAAGCGCCGGCCGTGTTGATATTTTTGGAATGGTGCGTTGTTGGCGTTTTCCGATTTTTTTTGTTGATGCCATCGGGATCTATGAATACAATTATGTTTGCAGGAGTTTGAGAAATTTCGAACGAAGTGCTGGGCTTGTTCGTTCCTTTTTTTTTTCTAATGGGCAAACCCGTTGTTGATGGGCGAGAAATAAATGAAACCTCGTCGCCGTGCGAACGAGTCATGTTCGAGCGCTTTTGATTTATATTATTTCATCTACATTGATGTATTTTCCCACGTTATTCTCTGAACATGATAGATTTTTGATGATTTGGTCAAGAGTGACAGAATTTCCATGTCGCTCTAGCGATTTCATAATTTTTATTGGCAATTTGGTGACGGTCACAGGATGGGTTTTCGTTTCTCTGCACTCGTAGGCCGATTGTAACCTGGTTGTTTATTCATAGGAATTCTTCTATTTATGTCAAGATGAACGTAAGATACGGATCCCTCGCCGGACTAATCAAGTCTCAAGAAGACCTTTTTTTCTGTAAAATAAGGGGATTATGTTTATTTATCCCAAGGGGTTTTCTCAGGCACTAAGACTAAGAAAAAGAGCTTTGCAAAGAGTGTCTCATCGTGGACATGCCTGCGCCATGTGTTCCTTGGAGGCTCTTGGAATATCCTGGGTTGAAGTATGATTTGAGTGGTTTTAATCAAGAAGGTGACGGAAGAAATACCCAGGGATGAAAATACGCGAGCAGGTGTGTTGAACACCTGGAGCAATAAGCTGGAAGATTCGTGGGAAGTACAAGTGTGCCAAACCCTCGCCAGAGAAAAAGAACAGGATGAATGTTCTTCATTCTCTCTATAGGACGATGTAGAAAATTCTACTAATAGTGTGATAATGCCACAGTACATCTCGTGTAAACCGTTTTGGAATGGTATGCCGTTTCTTTGAAAATCAATAGCGAATTGCTTAAAATTCACGACCAGGACTCATCTTCTCACTTACTTGCATTCCTTTTGAGATATATCTTCAATTCTTACATGTTTCATGGTTGAAAATCATTTCAGTATGAGGAAGCTTTTGGTTTTATGTACAGGGTACCCAAGTGGGGAAATTGGTGCACACTGGGGATTTGTTTGTAATTCTACACAGTGACCCTGCTGTGCACCTGAAGTGTACCAAATTTCTTCTGTTGCACATGCATATCCCCAATGTGCACCAATTGTGTGTCCACACCAGGATTACTCAGGGTCACATTTGTAAACAAATAAGTTACACCAAGGTTACACTTGGTGCATTTGCGTGATGCTCCTGTTATTTCACATTTGTGCACCAAGTGTAACCCTGGAATGGTAGCAAAATTTCCTTTACAGGAGTGCACACTTGTACCCCCAGAATATCCCATATGCTCCAGTTGTGACCCTGGTGTGCACCTACTGTGGGGTCACAGCAAAAATAGCTCCCCACTTGGGTAGATACAGTGGTGTAGTGTAGGTTTATTTTGCGAATTCAAGTTAAATTTAACCTTGCTGAGTCAAACCTCCCCATGTGAATTTTGTTTAGCCCCCTTCTTGACTTTCTTATGAGCAGTGTAATGTAGACCTCTCCAACTCAAAGACTTATAAACCTGAACCTCTAGAACTCAAATATTGAGAGGCTTTAATTCTTGGGACCCAGTGGGAAGAGCAGTAAAAATTTTACTTGGTAATTATCAAGAAGAGTGATAGATTAATTGGGCAATAGATTAATTGAGGGCTCGCATTCTCTCAAGTCATTCACCCAGCAGTTCAAGGTAAAGATAATCATCAATTTCACCTTTTTGTAGTTCTTGATTTTTGTTTAGCAAAAATGTTCGTTCCCCAGCTCAAAACTCTCCGTGTCGAATTTGTTGGCTGCTTCTTAGTTTGACTTGAAAGGTTTGTATTGTACTGTTATACTAGGTGGAGTCTTTCTCTACATTAAAATTGGACAAGAAAACTTTGCTGTAAATAGACGGGATCCTTGTAGAGAGAGTCTGCCTGTATTACACTTTAATGCAAGTGAAGGGGAACAAGAGAGCAAGGTAATGATGGATGCCTTGGTTTTGTACTTACTTTGAGGAGTACAGTACTGGACTGTGATATCTTTTGTCACATGAAAACCTGTTCCACGTACTGTATTTCTGAGGATCATTGAGGAAGTTACGCGCACTCTCGGTGTGTAGGAACACATACAAGCATATACAGGATGTCAGGATCACGTTATTGATGTCAACTGCGATGAATTTAGCTCTATATGCAGTCCGCCGTTCAGTTTTCCCCTCCCGATACAAGAGAATCGGATTCGCTTCCCTCTGACGCTCTCCCGGCCGGACACGTGTAACCGCGTTCTCGAATGATACTGTGTAATACTGTAATGTGCTGTACTGTGAAAACAGGAGGAACATATATTCTGCGTTATATTCACGGTGAGGGGCATTGTTTCTTAGGTCCCGCTTCAGATGTGGAAATCCGGCGTGGGCATTTGGGTGGGCGAAGACGTGCTGACTAGGAAGAAGCGTTTCATGTGCGGCTTGCTGGAGGTAATTTTTTAAATTAGCTAGATGGATGGTAAATTGGTGAGAGAAATACCCAAGAACTTTTCTTACATCAATTTTAGGGTTGGAAATATCTGTTTCTTTAATTTGCCGTGAAACAATATTTGCGATTTCATCACAAAATGTCCCTATGTGAAGTCAGTGTCCTCATGTTGGGCCTTTTTTTATTCATTTTTTATGGGAAAATAAGTGTCCTTTTGTTGAATTGTCTGCATGTGGGGGTCTCACTGTATAGCAGCTTTTTTAAACCATAGAAGAAAAAAATGATTAAAGAAATGCTTCCTAGGGTGGGCATTGATCCTACGCTTCCTTTGTGATTCCATATTTTGAATACTTCCCGTGTTGAGATTACAGCGCGTCACTTGCTCAGTTCTTTTTTGGATACCTGGCAGCTTTTGAGGTCTTGTTGGATTCTAATTTGCATATGATTAAGGGCTGTGTACCGTACTACAACAAAAGGCGCTTTTGTCTCCCACTTTGACGTGGCCTCAAGGTCAGAAACTTGCGAGGTTTGATTCAGAAGTTCTGTCCGATTCTCTTAATGGTGTCTTCTTGGATGGAGATGAACCTAATTTTTTATGAAGTACAGTAGTAATGTGTTAAGTACTGTGTGCGGCACAAATGGAACAATTTTTGCTTTCGAAGTTGAAGTGGAGGAATAACAAAGAGTTGAAAGCTCATTCCGTCTACGGGCACAATCTCCTTTTACAACGATTATCTCTATACAGTATAATGATATGCAAAAATATTCTCTCTTTAACGATTTCGTGAATTTTGTTGTATAGAGAGAGTGTATTTTTATATGCCAAAATTAAGTTCATTTGCCGTATCCAAATTATATTTACTTGCGGCTTGGATGCCACGAACGATTTCAATTGATAAAAACGTTTCGGTGATCTCACTGCCGAAAACATTTTTACTTTCGAAAATTCTCAGCATGTCTATTTTTTGAAGTTATTGATGCTACTGTAAATGCGAAAGTGGTTTCTGTCAAATGCCAGTTGACGAGCAGGAAATTTTCTTGGTTAGGACTGCTAAAAAAATCCTTAGCGAATATAAATCGGATTGTTTTCGTTTGTAAATGTCCACCTAAAAAGATCGGCAACTTGGAAGAATTTCTAGGTACTGAACTGGTGACATTTTGAGCATTACCTCGCACGTTTCTGTTCTGTATTTTTCTGGGCATACCCCTGGTGAGTTCGCAAGAAAAATACTTGTGTGTGAAAGGTTATTGGCCTTGGAATCCTGGTTGGCCGCCTACTGCGATACGGCTCATTACCTCCCCCGAACTTCCACAGCAAATTTCACTAAGGGCACTTAGCTAAACTTGCTGTAAATTTAGTCGTTTGTAGGTTCAATTGCAACCCGCTGGTTTAGATTTCAGTATTGATATTCTAATATTTATTAGAAGCGCCGGCCGTGTTGATATTTTTGGAATGGTACGTTGTTGGCGTTTTCCGATTTTTTTGTTGATGCCATCGGGATCTATAAATACAATTATGTTTGCAGGAGTTTGAGAAATTTCGAACGAAGTGCTGGGCTTGTTCGTTTCTTTTTTTTTTCTAATGGGCAAACCCGTTGTTGATGGGCGAGAAATAAATGAAACCTCGTCGCCGTGCGAACGAGTCATGTTCGAGCGCTTTTGATTTATATTATTTCATCTACATTGATGTATTTTCCCACGTTATTCTCTGAACATGATAGATTTTTGATGATTTGGTCAAGAGTGACAGAATTTCCATGTCGCTCTAGCGATTTCATAATTTTTATTGGCAATTTGGTGACGGTCACAGGATGGGTTTTCGTTTTTCTGCACTCGTAGGCCGATTGTAACCTGGTTGTTTATTCATAGGAATTCTTCTATTTATGTCAAGATGAACGTAAGATACGGATCCCTCGCCGGACTAATCAAGTCTCAAGAAGACCTTTTTTTCTGTAAAATAAGGGGATTATGTTTATTTATCCCAAGGGGTTTTCTCAGGCACTAAGACTAAGAAAAAGAGCTTTGCAAAGAGTGTCTCATCGTGGACATGCCTGCGCCATGTGTTCCTTGGAGGCTCTTGGAATATCCTGGGTTGAAGTATGATTTGAGTGGTTTTAATCAAGAAGGTGACGGAAGAAATACCCAGGGATGAAAATACGCGAGCAGGTGTGTTGAACACCTGGAGCAATAAGCTGGAAGATTCGTGGGAAGTACAAGTGTGCCAAACCCTCGCCAGAGAAAAAGAACAGGATGAATGTTCTTCATTCTCTCTATAGGACGATGTAGAAAATTCTACTAATAGTGTGATAATGCCACAGTACATCTCGTGTAAACCGTTTTGGAATGGTATGCCGTTTCTTTGAAAATCAATAGCGAATTGCTTAAAATTCACGACCAGGACTCATCTTCTCACTTACTTGCATTCCTTTTGAGATATATCTTCAATTCTTACATGTTTCATGGTTGAAAATCATTTCAGTATGAGGAAGCTTTTGGTTTTATGCACAGAGTAGATACAATGGTGTATTGTAGGTGTATTTTGCAAAATTCAAGTTAAATTCAACCTTGCTGAGTCAAACCTCCCACTATGTGAATTTTTTTTACCCCCTTTCTTGACTTTCTTAAGAGCAGTGTAATGTAGACCTCTCTAACTCAAAGACTTTTAAACCTGAACCTCTAGAACTCAAATAATGAGAGGCTTTTATTCTTGGGACCCAGTGGGAAGAGCAGTAAAAATGTTACTTAGTAATTATCAAGAAGAGTGCTGGATTAATTGGGCAAATGTCCCCCTGCCCTCAAGTTTCGCATTCTCTCAAGTCATTTACTCAGCAGTTCAAGGTAAAGATAATTACCAATTTCACCTTTTTGTAGTTCTTGATTTTTGTTCAGCAAAAATGTTTGTTCCCTAACTCCAAACTCTCCGTGTTGAATTTTTTGGCTGCTTCTTAGTTTGACTTGAAAGGTTTGTATTGTACTGTTCTGCAGTATTACTCTGCATCAAAATTGGACCAGAAAAATTCGCTGTAGAGAGACAGGATCCTTGTAGAGAGAGTCTGCCTGTATTACGCTTTAATTCAAGTGAAAGGAACGAAGTGAGCGAGGCAATAATGGATGCCTTGGTTTTGTACTTACTTTGAGGAGTACAGTAGTGGACTGTGATATCTTTTGTCACATGAAAACATGTTCCACGTACTGTATTTCTGAGGATCATTGAGGAAGTTACGCTCACTCTCGGTGTGTAGGAACTCTCATACAAGCATATAACACGTTATTGAAGTCAACTGAGATGAATCAAGCTCTATATGCAGTCCGCCGTTCAGTTTTCCCCTCCCGATACAAGAGAATCGGATTCGCTTCCCTCTGACGCTCTCTCGGCCGGACATGTTTAACCGCGTTCTCGAATGATGCTGTGTAATACTGTAATGTGATGTACTGTGAAAACAGGAGAAACACATATTCTGCGTTATATTCACGGTGAGGGGCATTGTTTCTTAGGTCCCGCTTCAGATGTGGAAATCCGGCGTGGGCATTTGGGTGGGCGAAGACGTGCTGACTAGGAAGAAGCGTTTCATGTGCGGCTTCTGCGCCGAATACTCGAGCACCAACTCCTGGAACGTTCGCGTGCACGTCCGCAAGCACACCGGCGAGAAACCCTACGGTTGCAGGATTTGCGGACACATGTTTTCCTACAAAATGGCGCTCGTGCGCCATATGGAGGTGGCTCACGACATCAATTCGGGCGTTGATGAAGTCCGGTTCCGAAGGTTCAAATATAACTGACATCGGACCGGAATTTGAGCACTGTGCTGTGAAGGACTGAAGATCTAAAATCCTGCGTTTTCTTCGGTTTGTCTGTCTGTATATCTGCTGGTAGATCCTATATTGAGGGTGACGAGACGGTTGAGCGTATCTCCGAACAGCGCGTGCGAAAGGAGCGAGTGTCCACGAAAATATAAAGACGGTGAACATGACTAATTAAACCGAAGGAAGTACAGTTGAACCTCAAGAGCTTACCTATTTTCAAGTCCCTGTCAGAATTACCTCTCGAAGGCTTCAAACCTCCGTAACTCGATTATTCTGGAGGTCTTCTGTCTATTATTTTTTTTACACAGTAAAGAGAAAAGCAATAAAAAGTGTTATAATGTGTTTTAAAACCTAGTGGAAGACTAATTCTGCAAATGAACCCTTGCCTTCAAGTTCAGCGTCCTGTCAACTCATGCAAGAGGATTTAAGGCCCAGAGTATCGCCAATTAAATTTTTCTGTAAATCTCTTTCAATTCCCCGATAAAAATGCTTTGTTTCCCTAACTCAAAACCTCCTCAAGTCGATTTTCTTCTTACATGGCCCTTGAAGTTGTACTTGAAGAGGTTCAACTGTTATTTGCAGGGAAGATAAGAAGGCACTAGTTTCGTTCGGAGCAAGTCCTCGGCATGCGCTGTTTTGGCCACGCGCTCGACTATCCAATTACTGTACTGTCGCCGTGATCCGTTTTGAAAAATGTTAGTGCGAGATTTTAGCTGTTAACGGTTTTCCTGTCAGACAACGGCTATGTTCTCGGTACGGTAATGTTTTACTTAATTGTATTTCCCGCTTCGTTTTTTATTAGGAGGCATTGAAATCTCGAGGCTGTATTGAGGCCGCAAAGTTCATCGCTCAAATTTATTCGACGGTTTCGTACGATTCAGTTAACCTTGAGGTCATCTTGGAAGATCATTAGCGGGTGGCATGAAGTTTTTTTTTTTCCTACTTGTACAGATGCTAACGAGTGCTTCGGAAGAGATGGCGGTTTCCTTAGAGAAGTAAGTTTAACTGTTTGGTCGTTAAGTTTTGATTGCGATGAGATGTAGAACATGCATCTGATGCCGTGGCGCATGTCGAGCAACTTAGTAAGAAAGCAACAGTATTTTTTGTGGCGTTTCTCTTTGTGCTACGCAAATTTTGTAAATTTTGAGATCTCGCTTGTTGACCCTTGCTACGCTTTTTTGCAGTATTGTAGAATAGGCTTGTAAATTCGGACCCGGCAGGAAAGAAGAGTATTGTATGAATCCGAATGGATTTGACTTTTTTTTTGGAGTGTAAAAATCTGATGATGCGAAAAGTTGAGTATCGGGAGGCCGTTGAAAAGAAGAAAGTGTGATACGGTTTGTTTTTGTTGGCATAGTTTTAAAAAGAAAAAATGAAACGGGAGTGAGGTTGCATTCAGTTGACAAAATGAATAGGAAACCTCGTTTATACGGCCATATTTGAATAGCTGTTTTTTTATTGCGTGCTTTTGAACTGCATAAGCATTTGTTCGCACTATCTCGAGCAGGTGCGTTGAAAAAAAAAGTGACATTTTGAAACTCCTGAAATCAATTTTTTTATTATTTTCCTTGACGCGAGTGTTCATGATGATTCATGTCGCGTTTATCTTCAGTAGCCATCTTAATGAGTCAGTTTTGTTACAATTGCGTTTAAAAAGACGCGGAAGTTTTTTTCGGAATAGGACTACACTTGATTCTCGATAAGTCGAATTTTACTTTGTGTCAAATTCTTTTTTTCTCAAAGTACCTTTCAGAATTCCCCTGAAAACAAGGCATGAAAAACCTCCCTTACTCGAAGGCGTTCCCCGTCGAACGTATGAAATTCGAATTTTCTGGAAGCTTTTTGGTCATTATTTTATTGACACCAGAAGGAGAAAGCATTAAAAATGCACCGTGATTTGTTTTTGAAGACAATTTCTGGTAACGCTTCTTTCTTTCCTCCAGCAAAATTTCTCGTTTTCCTAAAACCTCCCCCAACTCAAATTTTTCGAAACCTCCCCAACTCAAATGTGTTCGCTATTACAGTATCTTGAAGTTCGACATGAAAAGGTTCGACTGTAGTATGAAGCTATTGCGATGATCTGAGTCGCTTTGTGTATGTATGTTCTCGCACTGCATCCGGGGTGAGCCAAGGTTCACTAATTCGAATTCCGCTCCTAGCTTCTCCTTTAACGTGGATCTACCGCATTGATGCGAATAATCTGAGACGGACTATATTTTTCAAACCCTCAGTCTAACTGAAAAATATGCATGCTGGTGAATCCTATATTTTACGGGTATAGCTGGCTTCACGCGTTGCGTCAACAACTCCAAACAGAGTGTAAAAAAATAAAATTACGTAACTGTCCGAATTCATTACTGTACTGTACATTTCAAATTGAAACGGCGGATAAAGGCTTGCAGCTTTTCTCTTGAAGGACTTCGGCTAATTATATGAATGCGAGATCATTCAGAAAAACATCGCAGTTTGTAATAATTGAAGGGAAACGTGCCAGTTGCGTTTTGGATTCGCACTTGAGCTTAGAAGAAAATTAACTCTTACTCTTGCTGGCAATATAACCTACATTTTTGAGGCGGGGCAAAAATCGAGTCTCGTTTCATATGTTCCAGTGGGGCCACAGAAGAACAGTTTCTTGTCTCCGGGATTTTTTTTTCCTTCATCCCGCCTTTCCATTTCTCCTTCATTTTTTCAAGCGCTAGGGTTTTTTTTTCAAGTGTCCAATAATTTAATCGTTTGTTTCTTGCTGTGTCCGTATTTTGGGCCCTACTGTATTCATCTGTGATTAATTTTTCTGGGTCATCTGCATTCTGAATTATGAAATTTTTTTGGACACTTGTTTCCTGCTAAATGTCCTCCCGTGTAATTTCCCTTTGGGCTTTTTTTTTTTCCTCTCTGAAATTGGCATCCACCTTTGTCCTATATGATGACATTTCCTCATGAGTCATGACGCCCATGTATCGTGTTATAGTGGGGAGTTCCGAGGCTGCCTGTGGGTTCGGCATTACAGATCCACAATGCTCAAGTTTTCGCTGCAATGTGACCTTCAGTCATGCAGGGAATGCAGTTCAGATAAGAGATGATTATTTGATGGTTTTGGCCCACGTTCGCGCGGACGTGGTTATTCTGCTGGTCCCAGGAACCCTTGGTGGAATGGCGTCCGGGAGCCAACGTGTTGAAGGGCACGGACGTGGAGACCCGGCGAACCCGCTTTCTCTGCGGCCTGTGCATGAACTACTCCAGCTTGAACTCGTCCAATGTGCGGGTACACGTGATGCGTCACACGGGGGAGCGACCGTTTCAGTGCTCCGTGTGTGGCCGAGGGTTCATTCAACGCAATGTCATGACCTTCCATATGCGCCAGTCCCACGGGTTGTCCAGGAACGAGCGCTGGTCTCCCACCCGAAATGTTGCGGCTTTGTGAAGAAGCGGGCTCTGGTATCCAGGGATGATATGCAACGCGTACTGTACTTGACTTATTTACTCTACTGTACCGATGAAAATGAAGAAGCTCCCGAAAAGGGTGCACCTTTTATTTTTATTGATTTTATTTTATTTGCTGTTGTTGTGTGAATGATGTTTTACATACTACTGTATGTTCCTATCTCGACTCTGATTTCTAAAAAATCTGGGGGATCGTTGGGTGGACTTTTTTTTTTTGTTGGAACGTTGTGCAGTAAGGAGTGAAAACATTGTTACAGCAAACTCTTGAGGACCTGAGAAAAATTCTGGGTGCTGAAAAATTTGCTGTAACAAGATTCGTGTTTCTTGGAGCGTAGGACTGCAATTTTTTTTGAAAGCTGTAATAATTTTATTTCTATAGCAGAGATTTGTGAAGAATGAAATGCCTGCATTTCCAACTTCTTTTGACAAAATAATCAAGAAAATTCAAAATATGAATGTTCTTCTTTTAGACCTCCCCATTTTTACAGACTTTTATTCAACTTGACTTGGGGTATGTATGCATGTCTGTCTAAGGGATATCCAGATTTAGCTAAGTTTGCATCTGCAATTTAGCCCACTTTCAAATATCCAATCTAGCTGAAATTTTCCACACTTGTCAAACATTGATGACAATGCAGTGTTTCAAAATTTTAGAATTTTTGGATGACCACTAACTGTTCAAGTTGACAAAACATAAATTACTGTAAAACACACTTTTAACCCTTTTAAAACTGTTCAAATTGATTCAAATTTTGGGGCTGTATTTATCAAGCATTGCTTCAAACATTGTGAGAGTTTCAAAGTTTTGAAAGGAAAAGTAAAGTTTCTTTTTGAAAAGAAAGAAATTTTGAATATTTTTGAAGATGAGAAAAATCAATTTATAGTGACATCTACTCATTCAATAGATTTGGAACTTTTTCTACTTGTGGAACTAATGTATTTCTCCAAATTCTGTGATTTTTGTGTTTTTACATGTAAACAAGATCGCTTTTTACAACAAATTGTAAGCACTTTAAACTGAATTTGTAGGCCTCTTAATTATCTTGAAAAAAGGACATTTTTATTTAATATAGAAGATGCTAAGGTGTTCACAAAGGCCCCACACTTTGATTAGACCACTATCCAAGGAAATTGTTTGAAAAAGTTCATTTTCCCCATTTTAGTGCATAAAATTATATTTCTATGTTTATTGTGAGAATATCATGATCTTACGAAAGTACTGTGTAAGCATAAGCAAGCAGAAAATGCATGTGTAAGAAGAGATTTATTCCCTAAGAACTGGATGTTACCTAAAATGTAACTGTATCTTTTTAACATGCATTTCTATAAAAATTAACCATTTCTGAATGCAAAAAAACTTTTTACCCTACATTTTGATTAGAGCTTTGTACTTCCTGCAATTTTAATTTTTATCTACAAAAGATTTGCATTTATATCTTTGAAAGTTTTTGCACAGATTGGGTTTTCCCATATCGTGTCAGTTATCTAAAATTGCTATGGCTTGTGCACACGTAATTGAAGCAACAAAAAAATTATACTGGGATCACGTAGGAAAATTGGTTCTGTATGATGAAACTTTAGAAACATTTTCCTTATTTTAGAAGACACTGTCAGGACCAAGAAAAAATCTTAGAGCAAAAACAAAATGTATAACAAAATTGATTATAACATAATTTTACTACTGTATATATTTTGTTGCTTAGGTATTTAATTGAGATTTCTTCTGTGGGTGATTTTTGAGAAAATTCCAAGTACAGTAGAGTACAGCGGATGAGTGTTGTCTCAGTGAAGGATTAATCCGGTTCCCTTGTTTTTACGATGCTTTTGCGCTAGAAAGTCTAAAACTGCATTGAGTACAAAGTTCAAGTTGCATAAATTAGGGCATTGGGTTTGCATAATTTTGACAGCAGATTCCGCGCTGAGCGAAGCATTCTTCGGGAAATTTAGGTTATTTTCAAAATAAAGATGAGTGAAGATCAGGTGAAGCAGAAGGGCCATCAGCATAAATATTTGTTCATCCCCTTGAGAACCGGAAAAAGGAAGTGTGTCGCCGATTTTCCTCTTTTTTTGCTCCATCCGTGAGTCACTGCCTTGACCGTGAATTGAGGATTTTTGAATTCTCGAGTGCCTAGGAATGTATTCTGCAGTGATATCCCAGAATAGGAGTACGAAATGTCAAAAAAGGAATGGAATAACCAAGATGAATACATTTGTCAACTTTTTCCTTTTTCATCACAATAAAGGACGACCCGTTCTTTTGGGTTAATCGGGTGATTGGGCAATGCTATTTTGGTGATTGCTTGTTTGCTTTGAAAGACCTTTATGGTATTTGTGTCATAGCAAAATCTAGAAGAGCAGTGTGATACTTTTTTGTCAATATTGTTACCTTTTGTGATATTGTATTACAAAGCTAACTTAACGCAACGCTTACTATAAAAAAATCTTAAGTTATATTGGATTCACTGAAGTACCATGTAAACCTTTTTTCTGGACATCTAAAAAAATGAAGTGCATGTCCCACTTGGACATGCACATCTATACATCTTCTTTCATATATATTCTTTCTTATTTCATATGTATCTTCTTTATCTTCTTTCATATATTTTGATGTGCGTAATAATCATGACACATGATCAATTCTTTTAAAATTTTAAATGGCTAAAAAACGGTATAAACAATTTTAAGATTAAAAATAACATTGAATTCTTTTTTATATTGACTTTTTCAAAATTTTAAAATGACTGAATCAAAAATATAAATTTTTTCGACAGTATGGTGAATTTTATTATTGATTGTATTGATTGAAAAATTTAGGGTACATGCGTCGTGTTGGAGTACATTTTTAGCCAATTTTTCTTCAGCAAAATCAAGTTGAGTACCTTATTTGAGGGTTTGTGGTACAGTACTTGGGTAAATACTGTACGTTATAATTTATTCACAACTCTTGCTTGCGTGATTTTTTTTTTTACATGTGTCGTATTAAATCAATCTGGCGTCATTTTGGTGTTGGCTTAGAATAGTGGAAGTGAAAAGCTATTTGTGGTGCAGTAGTGGTGCTTCCAAAGCTAATGTAAAACAAGATGCTTGCCTGAGTGGGGAGCTATTCTTTGTGTGACCCCACAACTGGTGCACACTGGGGTCACAACTGGTGTACATGGGCTATCCTGGGGTTACAAGCATGCACCTCTCTAGGTGAAATTTTGCTACCATTCCAGGGCTAAATTTGGTGCACAAATGTGACATAACAGGAGTATCACACAAATGCACTAACTTTAACCTGGGTGTAATGTATTTGTTTACAAATGTGACCCTGAGTAATCCTGGTGTGAGCACACAATTGGTGCACATGAGGGATATACACCCTATTTGAGTAATCCTGGTGTGAACACACAATTGGTGCACATGAGGGATATACACCCTATTTGGTGGAACAGTTTTTTTTTACATTTGGTGCACAAATGTGACATAACAGGAGTATCACACATATGCACCAACTGTAACTGGGGTGTAACGTATTTGTTTACAAATGTGACCCTGAGTAATCCTGGTGTGAAGACACAATTGGTGCACATTAGGGATATACTTGTGCAAAAGAAGAACTTTGGTACACTTCAGGTGCACAGCAGGGCCACTTTGTAGAATTACAAACATATCCCCAGTGTGCACCAATTTTCCCACTTGGGATGGTTGAAGTTTTAACAGGGATGGCCTTATTCTGTTCAACCCTATTTGGTGGAACAGTTTTTTTTTACATTTGGTGCACAAATGTGACATAACAGGAGTATCACACAAATGTACCAACCGTAACCTGGGTGTAACTTATTTATTTACAAATGTGACCCTGAGTAATCAAAAAAATCCTGGTGTGAACACACAATTGGTGCACATTAGGGATATACTGTACATGTGCAAAAGAAGAACTTCGGTACACTTTAGGCGCACAGCTGGGTCACTGTAGAATTACAGACATATCCCCAGTGTGCACCAATTTCCCCACTTGGAATGGTTGAAGTTTTAACAGGGATGGCCTTATTCTGTTCCACCCTATTTACTTTACCTGTTTGAAACGGACGCAAGAATGAGTGGGTCGAAAAGAATTTGCTTCTGCTCCTGCTTCCGTGACTTGAACTTCCTATTGCCCCCTTTTTCATCATCATCCCGCTTTCAATGCACCCATCAGCAACAATTGGAGGAATGGCGACCGGGCTCGAACATTTGGCAAGGGGTGGACACGGTGTCGGGCAAGAGACGCTTCCTGTGCGGCTTTTGCAGAAATTACACGAGTCTCAATTCGCACAACGTCGTTGTGCACACTCGGTGGCACACCGGGGAACGACCGTTCTCCTGTCCAGCCTGCAACAAAGCGTATGTGCAGAAGCAGACACTGCTTGTGCACGTCAAGAACTGCCACCCGGACGTGTTCCCGCTCATGACTGGACCCGCCAGATTATAATGCTGTTTTTTCAGGTTTTTTTGTTGTTGTGTCTAATTTCATCGAGTCGATGGCGCCAATTCCGAGACGCTTTTTTTTCGTTTCCATTTTTGGCAGTTTCTTATAAAAGAGAGTTTTTTTTTCATTTGTACGGTAGTGTATATGGTAAATGCTTGGGAGCGCGTATGATGGGGAATTTCTCTAAAAGGCTTGCTGGTTTCCAAAAAAAAAATTGTGTTCTTTGCATTTTAGGCGAGGGAAAAACTGTTGAATCATGTTTAGTTGACTTGTTTTTTGTGCGAAATTCTTACGTCAATCCCTTGAGAAATTAATTTTTGAATTGTATGGAAAGATATCTGGTCTCTCTTCGTGAGGAAAAAGTAGAAGAATTTTGAACATACTGTAGTATTTTCTCAGAATTTAATTCAACATTTTGCGGGCTTGTTTTAAAGAAGGGGTTAAAAAATGCACGATGCTGCTTTTTTTTCATTCTTTCTTCGGTCTCTTGGCCAGAATTTTAGTGCATGAAATGTTGAATATCTAAGGTGCTCGAAAACCAATTTCAGTTATTTTGCCAATGCTGCTTTTTTGGTCCATATTTCTTTCAATCCTTCGACCAAAAAGGCTGAATATGACAAAGTAAGTTGGGAAGAATTTTTGTCTCTCATCGTTAGAAGCAGGTTGAAAATTTAGAATATCTACTCGGAAATGATCTTAACATTTTGCCATTTTTGCTAATTTTGCGTCAATAATTCATTCTTCAATCCAGTGACGAGAGAGTGAATATGTGAAATTAGGTTTTGAGTTGTGGGAAGAATGTTGGTCCCTCATCGACAGAAAATGAACGGAATATCTAGTCAGAATTATTTGAAACATTTCGCCAGTGCTGCTGAAGGGGTTTTTTATAATTAAAGTTATGGTTGACAATTATTGAAACATAATTTTTTAGTTATACTGTAGAAGGCCACCAAATGCAGGCTAATGAATAATAAAAATTTGGGTTGCGTAGATTCTTAGAAGGCATTCTTAACAATTTTAGAAGTAATTTCAATTCTATTCGGAATATCCTCGTCAGAGAATGAAAGCTTGGGCATTTTTTGAAGTTTTTTTAAACTTCATTTCGAAATGAGTTCTCCAGACGTTTTTAATCGAAAAGTTTCTGTTTCTTTCTCTTTTTAAATCACTGATTTTACGGGGTAATGCAAATCTTTTTTTTAAATTAAAAATAATCAACTGAAAATGATTCATCGGTTTTTGCTCGCAATCTAATGATGGATGTGTGTGTGTGTGTGTGACTCGCAAGTCTTTTGAGAAACATTATGTAACCTTACTCCTGTCCCACCTGAAGACGATGTTCTCGGTTGAGTAACGTATGCTTTTAAGCGAGTGATACCAAGGGTTGAAAATGGTGTATTCCGTTGATGTGAAAATGAGGTCGCTCGCCGTTCAAGTTGCATTTTTTTTATATATACAATTCGAAATCGAATTAGTTCATTTCGATCTTGAGCTGTGAATATCTTTGTATGTAAAAAAAAAGGTCAATCGGCTTCCTATTTCAACGTTGAAAGTTGAATTTTGAAATTAATTGATCAGTTTTTTACTCGGGTCTGAAGAGGTAGACGTTCAGAGAATTCCCCTGAAATCGGAAGAAATTTTTTTTTTAATTTCTTTCAATTTTTTAAACCGCTTTGTCATCGATGAAACATCGAGTTGTGGGGCACATTTTTGTTGCTCCGTGATTCAGTGGTATGATTTATAATCGTTGGTTTGTTATTTCGTCAGTGAAGTTAAGACCGACTTTTGAAGCTTTGGAATCGTGTTTATATCATGTGTGTGGGTATGAAGAACGTGCGAGTAAAAGCTGTTCAAGTGTCGTTCATTTTATTCAAACGGATTATTTGATGACATTGTTTTCTTCATCTTTCAGCTCTTCTTACAATTTCAGATATAAGTTTAGGTTTTGTTCTTCTGCACTTAAGCGATAATGGCCTGCAAAAAGTGTGACCAACCAAAATTGATCAGACTTATGCCCACTGAAATGTCTGCGATAACACTGAGATTAAATGGGTTACCCAATTCAGACCTCAGGCAAAAAAAAAATTACGAAATTGACCCTTCATTTGTATGATATGGCAAATAGTGAAATCCGGGGTGTCCACAGATTCTTGAAATACTGTAGTATATAAAACAGTAAACTAATTCTATTATTTGACAGAAGGTGGAACAATTCCTTTTTTGAATTGAATACAAAGGGGGTCCCAAGATGTGGCCATGAAAACGTTTTAGGCTGTTTCCATAAGTTGGAAAAAAGGCAAACTTCATCTGTTATTGCCATAGACTTCAATGGTAAAATGTTAATTAATTCTCACGTTCTAGCAAAGAATTTGAAGAAGTACTCCAAAATTTGTATGAAAATGTGTTTTCAAGTGTCCATAAGTCAAATTGTCTGTATGTCGGGGTCTCGATGTATTCTCAAATGAAAATGAAACCGTGATGTACCGTATATTGGCGATGAATAAGATCCATTTCACAAGAATTTCAAACAAGGGAAAACCATACGTTAACCTTCATTACGTTTATCCTCGTAGCTCTTGATCTCAAAATATTACGTGAATCCAGGTATGGATGATAATCATGAAAGCCTTGGCAACAATGCGCAATTGGACGGCTCGACTTCAAGTCAACTTCTCGCACGAGTTCAGGACCTTGCACAGCCCGCATTTGAAAGTTCCAGTGAACTCATCAACAGTTTGGAGGAACTTGCCCTCAGTCATGCTAATGGCACTTCGTCGTCGCAGGGATTCCCTGCATACGACGTAATGAATTCTGCACGTTTCCAAGATCCCGTAGTGCGTTCTTTTCGTCGGGAAGACGACAAGTATTCGAAACCCTCGGAAGACTTTGCCCTCTTTCGGAAATCGTTCCCGGTGAAGAAGTTTGAAGAGGCCTTGGGCAGAACGGGTCGTTTGAGCTCCGCCCTGAAGGAAATTTTGCAAAGTGCGGAGGATTATGCGAAACTGAAGGTGGATCCCAAGAGGACAGACAAGGATGAAGCGGTCGCGCAGAAAGATTATATGCTGTCTTCCATGTTTTTGCTGACGAGCAGCCAGGATTCCAAGTGGGGATTTCGTAGTGAAACTACCAGGGGTCGATCTGCCGAAAGTTCTCAGGATATAAATTTATATGATAGAACAGGAAAACAATTACAGTAATTAATTTGTCCGAAGGTTGCCTCCAAGTCTTTTGAGGTAATTCCGCCATTTTCATCGACAGCCGCCGCATTCTCATCCCAAGTGGCGGCTGTTGATGGAAATGGCGGCAACCCTTGGAATTAATTTTGTTCCGTTATTTTCATCGACAGCCGCAATCTCAACCGCCAATTGTGTTGAGAATGTGGCGGCTGTCAATGAAAATGGCAAAATTTATAAACAATTAATGGGGCAACCCTTGGATTTAAAGCAATGTCAATTTCAAGAATTTCGAAGGGAAACCTGAGGTCACGCAAAAAATCTACAGGATGAGCGCCTCATCTTTCGAGTCAAAGAGCAGAAAGATGCAAGGGTGACTTCTGGAAAATATGTTAAACTGGGCTGAATTTTCTTTTCCTTGTGCCAATAATTGTTTTTCAACACAATTGTATGCCGTTTCAGTTTCTATATTCCGAGAAAATGTGTTAAACCCCTCGTATATTTTGATGGAGGATGTGGACAGCTGATTTACGAATGTTGACTACCGCACCTTATTCTTTCCCTCTTGAAAAAAATGATAGAATTTTCGATGTTTACAACGAAGCCATCCGATACTGTCATCCTAGAAGCGCTCTTCTTGGATCAGTTTACTATGCCAGGTCTGGAGTGTTTTTGAATTGTGGAGACAAGCAAAAAGCCCTTGAGGACATTGACAGGGCTCTTAATTGTGATGTAAGTGTGGATGGTATCTTTTTGATGTTATAAAAGATTTTTCTGGTTTCAGTAGTGCGTGGCTTTTTTTCAAAAAGATTCTTCTGTATGCTAAATGTTGGCAAAAATATTTTCTTGATTTTTCTGGAAGTTTTAGAAAATTATTCATATTGTGAGACATTTTCCGGATGTCTTGGCGAACGTTTTCAGTTCAAGTTGTCTGTATACTGTATTTACTCAAGTACCACATTCACCTTTTTTTTCTCAAATTTCAGTTGAAATAAAGAGGTGCACGTCATAAGCAGGTACAAATTTATCAATACGTTTTAGGAAGCTATGTGTGCATTATACTTAATTATAAAGGAGAAATTTCAAACAAATGTAACAAGAAAACTTTTTTGTACTGAAAAAGTTGAAAATTGATCCAATTTTTGTTCAATTCATGTCTAAAGTCAAATTTTTTGAATTTATTTTTGAAATTTTGTGGTTTTAGATTCACTAAAAATTGGGGTGTGCATCTTACTCAGGTATAAGATTTTAGCCAAATTTCCAACTGAAAAACCCCTGTGCGTGCCTTACTCCAGGGTGCGTGGTACTTGAGTAAATGCTGTAAGACAAATCATCTGCATGTTTGGGATCCACTGCTTAAATACAGGATGGAGCAAAAAAGTGAACTGATTTTGGATGCAAAATAGCTTATAGTAGCAAATGAATAAAAAAAGCCAAATGAAAGCTTATTCAATACTTTATCAAACAGTTCTTTGGACCATGAAACTGCATACCATTTGAAAGGGAATTGAAGAAGCTTTTGTTCGGTTTTTTTTTTCATTACTGCAGCTTGATTCACTAACACAAGGTATTTTGAGTCAAAAATCGGTTCACTTTTTTTAGCCCACCCTGAACGATATTCAGCATCAAGTTTGATGGGGGTCTGTGTGCGTTTTGCCGTAGATTATCAACCACCTCTATGTGCTAAATTTTTAACCAAGTGCTCAGTGAAACTTCCTCGACACCCTAAGCCTCCTATTTCACTATATCAGGTCTCCAAGGAAACAAGAAGGCAATTCTACTTGAGGAAACACGAATGCTTGTATCCTCATCACGAGAAGGGTTTCCTGGACAACGTGCAAGGCTTGCTTGGCTTGAAGGACGCGTCATCGGAAAGTTTCACGAGGATCAAGGTAAATCATTGACCATATCCTCTTGGGAAATTTCAGAACATTTCCCTACAGAGTGAGGGCCCAGAGATGCAGACGTAATTGCTGTTATACGACCTTATTGTCCCTGTGTCGGAGCATCCATATATACGTTGGATCATACTTCATGGGAACATATTTGCGGTATACTCGAGCACCACGTGCATCTTTTTCCTCAAAATTGAGAGGGAAAACTGGATGCGCGTCATAGATGGGTTTAAATTTTTTAAAAAGTTAACACGCTCAAGTATATACGATTTTTAGTGGAAAATTTCGGACCAATTTTCCTGCGAAAACGTTTCAAAGGGCAAACTATTTTTTTGTGAAAATAAAGCGATTGACACTACGTTGAATTTAGGATCAATCCATGTCTAAATTGAATTTTGGGTAGTTTTTTTTTATATTCTACTGTTAAGAGTCACCAAGAATGGTGTACGCATCTTACTTAAGGATACAGTACAATTAAAGAAAAAATGACTTAAAAATCTTGGTGCGCATCTTATTTGAGGGTGTGTGGTACTTGAGTAAATACTGTACTGTACAATAATAGGTTTTCCTGATCATAACAAATCAGGAAAAAAGACCCCAAACAATTAAATAGAAGTGTTTTGTCAACTTCAAGATGCAGAAAATAGCTGAACAGGCGGAAATGACGCAGAATCTGATATTTTTGGCATCATATATAGCTCAAGAAACAAAACAAAAATGCAGGTATACTGCGACAGGTTTTAGAAAAAACTCTGAAAAAGGAGGCAGAAAATTAGCCTGTTTTGTATTGAATTAGATTAATTTTATGGTGAAATTTATTTTTAATTTGTGTGAATATGCGTAGCTCAAATTTTCAAGGGATATCAGAATTTATGAAAGCAAAATTCTTCTTGAAATGCTTGGGAAGCGTTTCTGTGTCAAGACATTGTCTGGATGACGGGGCTTATTTGTAAAGTGGCGAGCGCGTCTTCAAATCGAATCGTCCGCATTTCGGGGTTTCCGTGTGTCGGGATCCCACTACTGTGTATACCGCAGTATCAATATGTCGTTTGTATAATAGAAAGATGTAGAAGGTGTTGGGAAGTATGGCTATGACAAAGACGGACACCCGAGAAGAAAACATGAAGTTCGTGCGAGTACGCATCCCGATAATATCGCGATTAAAATCACTGGCAAGAAGAACTTGCTCATCGCGGGTGCGTCTGATGCCATCAAGCTCAAGTATTTGCCGGAACGCGGGAGATTTTACGTTGCCACTCGTCAGATTCAACCAGGTTATTCTCACCTTCTTTGGATCCTTTTTATATATGCAAACCCCGGAACTTGAAAAGCGGGGTTATTGATATTTTCACTGCTTTACTCTGAGCGAAAAAGCGAAGGAAAGAAAGACGCAGGAGGATTATGCGCAGATGAAGCAGAGACGCGCGGAAAAATGAAATACGATGAGGGTTGTTCCACTTAAGTGCTGGTGCGACCTTGGTTATTTCTAGAGGTGCGACTGTGTAAAATAAATTATCGTGTAGCCCAGGATGTTGTCAAGTTACAGGTGTTTTTGTTATGGATTTTGAAAGCCTTCTTTAAATTTACTCCATGATTGTAAGTGTAAACTTTCCAGTGACGGCCGGAGTTCTCCACCCATGTCACAGATAGTGCTAAAAATTTGTCAGGCCAGCTGAAACTAGAAATTTCTTCGTTTTTTTTAAACCATTATCTAAAATTTAGGAAAATATAGTATCATGATTAAAACGATCCAAATATTTCATGATTTTAGCTGCTGGCATGCTTTTTTTCCTTAGCTTCGTGTGACATGGTTGGAGAATTATGTTCGTAACTAAATTGAAAAAAGATTTTAAAAATCCGAAAAAATCCCAGAACTTCACAACTTCATCAGCTATCTCATAGTTTTTTTTTCATACAGTCATACCTACTTTAGAAAAAACCAAGGTAATCGCGCCCAAGTGGGATGGCCCTCGTATCGTCCGTTGCAACTTATAGGTTTTAAATTGATTCATTTCTGCGAGTAGTTTTATTAAAATTCGACCAGCTTGAATATCACCGGACAGAAACTCCGCTAATTCTGCGCTAGTGGAGTAAAATAATTTTCGTGATGCGTCCTTCATTTCTGCCCAACTTGGTAAATGTAATGTGCCGAGACTTGCTTGTAATGGATGCATCTTCTTACCGTGTTGTTGTTGTTGTAATGTTGATTTCATGCTCCATATTTCTTGAGGTGGTATTAATAATATTTGTCTCATGGTACCAATGCATTTCGCTAATTCCTCAGGAGAAATCGTGCTCGTGGAGAAACCGTATGCAGTTGTACTTTTCGCGGAGAATTGGTCGACGCATTGTCAGTATTGCGCAGATGTGGTGAAAAACGGTATTCCGTGCTCGAAATGCGCTACGGTTAGTTATTCTTGCTCAGTCGGTATAACATCTGAAGTCTATTTCGACGGAAACAAGTCCCTGCTCTTTGCGAATTTCTAGGTTATTTTTTGTTCGGAAAGTTGCAGAAAAAAGGCCAAACGATACCATTCCGTGGAATGCGAACACATGATGAGTTTGGCGCAGTTTGCTTGCACTGGAGGCCCGTACCTCGCGTATAGGATGATCACGGATCATCCTCTGGATTACTTTTTGCAGCGACGAGAGGTCGTGGAAAAAATGCACGAGGCCTCGGTAAGTTTTGTCATCATGTGAACTTGTTGGTATTTTCAAAGTTGAAAATATAATATGGACTCCACAGCAGAAGAATGCCGGTGGAAAATATAACGACTAATGTTTTACCTATAGCATCAGGTTTTCTCTTTTGTAAAATATGTTTGGGAACAATGAAACTTGTAGCTACTGTATTTAAATCTGGAATACCGCGTCAATTCCAAATGTTGCATATTTTGATCAAACAATGGGAATTCGAGTGATAATATCCGAAGTATGTAAGGTGTGTGGTTGTGCACGTCAAGTATGCATGATTTTTTCTATTTTATTGTGCATTCACAGACGCAAGTGATGCCAATGGGAACAATTGAGGCCAGAGAATATGTCAATGTCTATTGTTTAACGGATCATGCGACTGAGAAGAGTGCGGAAGATATGAGGGAATCTCTCATCTCGGCGATTTATTTCATGAAATTGTTGGAATCTGCCGGATATTTTGGACCTCATCCGAAGTAAGCATTGGGTTTGATTGTAACTAGGAGAAAGACCTCATGAATCCTCATTTTTTGATTGATCATATGATGATAATCATTTTGCAGTTTTAATATGTTTATTGCAGGTCCATTAGTTTAATGCACATAATCCACAAGTTTATTGCACGTTAATAAGGTTATTTCCCTGTATGAATGAATTTTCCCCCTTCATGAATAATTTTTAGCCCTTTTTAAATAAGTTTATTGCCTTTTATAAATAAGTTTATTGCCCTTCATGAATAATAGGTTTATTATCCTTTAACAGTACGGCAAGTTCTTTGCAGTTTTATGAGTTTCATTACATTTGAAATGAAAAGAATATTAATTGATTGAGCATTAGGAATTTTGCTAACCGCAATCCTGGGTTTCTTTCAGACGAGTCCAATGGGGAAAATTAATTTTTTCCGATTCCCCGCTCAATTGCTGCATAACATTTCGGAAAATTTTGACTTTTTCCTGTTGTACTCTCACCATGTCTGAAATCTGAAGGCTAATTTCAATTTCGGCCTATGTTTCTTCTGATCTTTGCTGTTGAAGTCAGAATATTTTTTGTTCACGCTCAATTTAATTTTGTTGAGAATGCTTTTGCAAACTTGTTTCTCATTATTTTTCTTTAAATGTATATGTGCTGGACGTACGAATAAATGAAGAATTATGAAATTCCCTAATCCAACAAAAATATGCAGAATGAATTATTCCATTCTACCTTACATTATTTTGTCAAATATGAAACCTGAAAACCATATTACATGCATGAGTATATAATTTGCTATTAAAAATTAGATTTACTCATTTCTTCATGTACGGACAAACTTTTTGGAAATATTCATATGAAAAATTGAAAAGTTTTTGGTACGAGCGAAAATTTAAACTTTTTTGGCAACATTTGTGCGCGATATTTGCTGCTTGAAAAGCAAATACTGATTAAAAATTTGAAAGTTTTTGGCAAACTTTTTACGCAAATTTTACTGTTCGAAAGACGAATACTTGATCATATTGTTTCAAAGCAACGGTTTTATTCTTCGTAATATCGTAAACACAGTTGATTTCCATGATTGATGTACCGTAATCTACTCGTATATCCTATATACAATTACTGTACAGTATTGTAACTTTGCGTATATGTATACTGATGTATATATGTAATACAGTACATCAACAGCCTGTGTGCGTGTGCATCACACATCAGACGAAATTCCTTTTTCGTGCTTCACCGAAACTCCGTCATGATGAATCGCGTGTGTTATTACCGCGTATCGATACGACTTATATTCCCATTTGAAAAATAATCCGGGATCGTATATAATCACGCAGTCTGGAAGACAAGGTGTTCATCACCACGTTGCTCATGAGGAACATCATGATCTTCGACTGCAGTTATTTCACGTACCACGAGCGGGAGTTGTCTCGCAACAATTTGCTCACCGAACCGCCGGACCGAGGAATGGCCATCTTCTCCGCAGCGAGTCTCGCCAACCACTCCTGCGCCCCGAACTTGTCGCATTATTTCGTCAGTTCGCATTTGGTCTTGCGAGCCATGGACGTGATCGCGGAGGGCCAGGAGTGCTCCATTTCCTACGGGGAATTCTTTTACAACTCCCCGATCCACAAACGACGGCAGTACTTGGACGGCTACTTTTTCAGCTGCGACTGCGTGGCGTGCGAAAATGACTGGCCGATGTTGGCGTCTCTTCCGCCGAGTTTGAAGTCAGTTGATTTATCTGATGCTTCTGATTTATGCTCATACAGTATACAGAAAAATTCCGTCACAGCGAATCTCGTCGCTTGGCGAATTTTTCATTTATAGATTTTTTTCTGTGGTCCCAGCAGCAGCAGTTTCTGTATATATATAGGAAGAAGGCTACAATTATCGACTTTATTGTTCAAATCTGATTGGTGAAATCTTGTTAAAACAAATTTTTCAGTACAACAAACTTTTTTTAAAGTCCCGGCAGAAATCATATAGAGTACATGTTATAAAAATCTTGTTACAAGAAACTCACCAATTCCATTTATAACAAAAAAACTTTTTAAGGAACATGTGATTTCTTGAAGAAAAATCTCCAGTGAATGCAGGCACAGTCTCAAATTTCCCATTCTCAAAATGGGACTGTGACTGGTTCTTGGGACATAAGGTGGAATCATGGGTAAAAATTATTCACCTGAACAATTTTTCTTTCCAAATTTCTTCCTGGGTTACAAAAGATGGTGGGGGAAAAAGAAAAAATGATCCCAACAAAACTCATGTCAAAAAGGGTTTTTATGCTTGAGAAACCCTGTGGTGATGCCTAGAAATGTTAAGCTTTTTTGGGACATCACACCCTAAAAAATTGCTTAGAAAAAGGTGATCAACAGAAAGTGCTGGTGTTGACCAGTTATTCAGAATAAATATTTCTGATTAACATTTAAACTTCTCATTGAAAATTGCATTTTTTAAATGTCATAAACAGCTGAAAAGGTTACAAAAGGATGATGTTAAATTTATGCAGGTTTAATTTCGAAAAATCTTCCAATCAGTCAAAAATTTCAAAAATCTCGTTATAAAAATTTATTTGTTATAACAAACGTGTTCTGGAGACCCCAGCGCAATTTTGTTAATTGTAACAAGACTATTGCAAATTATTGTAATTTCTACATAAATGGGCCTTGCCTTGAGGATTACCTCATGCTGTAAAGAAATTTAGGGAAAATTTAACTTTTGTATCTTGAAAAGTAGATAAAAATAATTATTGCATAAACAATCTTTGGAAGAGGATTTCAAAAAAAATACACAGCATGATGAATTTATTTAGGCTTGTTCATTTGAAAATGTTGCAAAGGCTCTTCTTTCAAATAAACGGTACAGTGAGTCATATGGAGAATGCATCTATTATGCGAAAAACAAATAGGTGTACAGTACTTGAACACGAGGCTTTGGAAAGAAGATCTTATACTGTACAGTAATTGACCTTCATATCAGTTTTTTTTTTCAAGACGATCAACACATGATTGGGAAATTCGAAGCAAGGCGCAGGTTCAGAATAACTTTTGCGATTTGCTACAATTATTTACCATCGCAAATTTGCTTTCATTTTTTTTTATATAAACACTCAGTTATATATACATATATAGTTTTATATAGACACTTATATAGACACTCTGTACTGAGTGTCTATATAAAAAAAATGAAAGCAAATTTGCGATGGTAAATAATTGTAGCAAATCGCAAAAGTTATTCTGAACCTGCGCCTTGCTTCGAATTTCCCAATCATGTGTTGATCCCCATTTGGGAAAAAATAAAATTTTAAATTATTCGGAAAATGAAGCTATGTTTTTTAGAATGTGATTTATTGATTGTCTTCCACTTGACTTCATTAAATTCTGCGTCATATACCATGTGTATGTTGCAATTGATCCATCAATGTTTTTTTTTTTTTTGGTTGCGAACACAGATGTCCTCATTGCCAGTTTCCAGCGAACTTGGATAATGTTCAAGATATGGCGAAGTATTCCTGTCCGCGTTGTGACATGCCTTGGAAGCCGTTTGTGGACCAGTTTTCCGTTGTCAAGGTATACACACTCTATGCAATATATGAAATATTGTAATGAATTACGAGTACAGTACAATAGAAATACTAGACAAAACCCATATTTTTCGAACTTTCGTCCGCAGCACTCACTCACTAAGCACCGATTGTCGACAGTGATGCTCTGATGTACCCATGCACGTGCATTACGTAATTATTAATTCCCCCTTTTGTCATGGTAGTTATTTGACTCCTCACACCGTGCACCATGTGTATTACGATCTTGCATCCCGGAAAGTCGAGATAGGTGTCGCCTGAATCGCAAACCAGAACAAAAGTGTAACTGGAGAAGAATACTCCTGTATACAGTACAGTACACTAGTACAGTATTGATGAGTCACTACGTAGTCTCAGTACCAACTTGAACACCACGCGTATACGTTTGTTGTTTCAGTTGGGTGAAAATATGAAACTATTTGAAGATGATAATTTTTACTGCCAACATTTTTCTTTGGGGAGGGAAGGGCCAAGGACGAGAAGAATTGAACTTGTTTGACAAGTGTATGTGCTGTTTATATGGGGGTATACAGTAATTACAATTATAATTATTAATCACAATTAATTATTTGAGTATATGGGGTATAATTTTTATCCGAGGGTACAATTCGTGGATACATTATTCACCTTTCTGAATTATAATTCTAAGCCCATTCAATTAAGAACAGTATTCCATGAAATTGTGAATTTTCTTGATGTTAATAAAATAGGAACTTTTCAGTGGCGAGTCTACGGATCATACACCACAAAATTATTCGTGTGAGAAAAAAAAATTTGCCACACTATTCGAGTGCATTATTTTTCAGGCATGGATTCCTCAAGGGTTCATTATTGATTATTGGGTTTCGAGGTTTCTACGCATACCAGCAGGCAGGCTTAAATGTCCCATGGCGTTTTAACTGTTGACTACTTTATTTTTGTGGACGGGGAAATATATTCCTGACATATTTACAGGTATTCTGTCTCACTCCAGCAAGAAACTAATTATAGTAATTGCTTTTCTGTTCTACCTTAGGCATGATGGAGACGTAATTATATACGCGTTTTTGGTTCCATCATCAGCTGCTGCATGATGATGGGGTTTCTTTTATTTCTGCTCCATGATCACTAAATTATTTTTTTATAATAAGATGTGTGTCAAAAAGCATGGTATTTGTATATAGTTCGGTACAATATTGCATCAGCATGGAACTCAGTCAAAGTCATAAACCTTACATGTACTGTTCAGGCGACAACTATCTCATAGAAATTGAGAATCATGGAATGGTAGTAACCAATGAATGATTTAAGATATTGTACTGCACTGTATGTATTGTATATCTTTTAGAATGTGATCGATGAGGTGAAACTATGAACGGAAGGTGGGACTTTTTTTTTTTTCGTTGACACCCCTCTTCTATGATTCCATTGTATCCATACTGAACATTTGATATACAGTATGCTCATTTTTGGGGACATCCAGTACATCCGCGGAATAATGAACTGATATTGTGTCGATTTTGTCCCGATCGAAGAAAGAGGCGCGTGAGGCGGATGCTAGGATCAGTGCAGGTAATGTTGATAACATCAAGGACGACATTTGGAGCATTGAGGAATATCTCAAGGCGTTGTACGTCGTGTCCGCGCCACCAAATCCGGAGTACTACGAAGTCTCGAATGATCTGAGCTACCTGCATATTATCGAGAGCCTAGTGACGCAGCGGTCTGCTGTGCAAGGCAATATTTCATTATTTGATCGCCAGACTAAGCGACACAGTAAGAGACGGAGTCATTCGCGAAGCAGGCGTGGAAGCAATATCGGTTTCAGCTCATCAAGATCGAGTGTCACCTTGACTGAAGATACTCCGATTAGCGTACCTCTGCCTCCAGGGGCACGTTATGGCGAATATTCCCCATTATTGTGATGTGGTGAAATACACGCGAACTGAACTTCCGCGTCCTTCGGAAAATAAGCATTTCCGAGAATGGAATAGGACCGTTAAGGGCGTTTTCCTGAGCTAATAATCGTCGAAATTTTCATTTCAATATTGGCTCGTGCTCCAAAGGTGCAGCCTACGTGATACCGAGCAGATGTCGCTTTAATCCATGACCGTTGAAATCGTCCGGGCAGGTGTCCTCGTGCCATTTTCGTTTTTCCTCCAGGAAAATATTGTCGGTGCAGTGCAGTTGGGGATGGGAATCTGAGAAAGCGTCAGCACCGTCGTGGAATTTGTACTTCTTTGTTTTTGATGATGGTTGTGCTGCAGTGAGGAACCTTTTTTTACGTTTTCCTCGTAGACAAAACGTGATATTCTGCAGTGTTGCTTGTGAATATTTTCCCGTGAAGCAAGCCCCCAGAAGATGGGAGTTCCGGCATTCTTCCGATGGCTGAGCAGGAAGTATCCATCTGTTATCATCTCGTGCGTCGAAGATCCAGTGAGTATAGGTATATTATCACTCACATGTCCAAGTGCTGGAAATATGCTTCATTTCGACAGTCATACGTCGATGAGCATGGGAACCAAGTACCAGTCGACACGACGAAACCCAATCCAAACAATGTCGAATTCGATAATTTGTATTTGGACATGAACGGTATCATCCATCCGTGTACTCATCCTGAGGATAAGTAAGCAACTTTCTTCGATTGTGTTTGACGGCCTTGTTTTGAAAATACATTGTATGTACCTATTTCAGACCTGCGCCGCAGAGCGAAGATGAGATGATGACGGCGATTTTCGATTGTATTGATCGCTTGATGCGCATTGTCCGTCCGAGGAAACTGTTGTACATGGCCATTGATGGCGTCGTAAGTTTTGCTGGCGTACCGGCTTCTCTGAGAAGTGGATATTTATTAGCATTCCTATTCATGCTTCAGGCACCTCGGGCAAAGATGAACCAGCAGCGATCCAGACGTTTTCGTGCATCAAAAGAATCGTTTGATAAACAGGAAGAGATGGCGAAGATCAAAGAAGAATTAAGAGCTAAGGGCGCTTACATTCCCGAGAAAAAAGACGAGTCTTTCCACTTCGATTCCAATTGCATCACTCCGGTTCGTCATTTGGTGATTTATTTGTATTTCACCTTACTTCATGCCTGTTTTTATGTGATGCTGTAGGGAACTCCGTTCATGGATCGTTTGTCGAAGTGTCTGCATTTTTATATTCACGACCGATTAAATAATGATCCTGGTTGGCAAAACATCTGCGTCATTCTTTCAGACGCCAATGTTCCCGGCGAAGGGGAACACAAAATAATGGACTACGTACGAAAACAAAGAGGTAAGCATCTTCTCTCGTTTAACGTTCTGAGAGTTTTTTCAATACCCTTGTTTTGTTCTAGCGAATCCGAATCATGATCCTAATACTCATCACGTACTTTGTGGTGCCGATGCGGACTTGATTATGTTGGGTTTAGCGACTCACGAACCGAATTTCACCATTATCCGAGAAGAGTTCAAGCCGAACAAACCTCGTCCGTGTGACATCTGCGGCCAGATGGGTAAAAGAATGATTTCATTCTTGTATGTTCTTTCTCAATTGCTAAACTCACTATTTTGAAACCAAAGTTGAAATAGTATTTCTCTCACTATATTATGTGGTCATAAAATGAATTTTGTCTCCTATTTTATTTTTGCAGGTCATGAAATGAGCGAGTGTCAAGGGGCTCCTCGGAATCCCGAAAAGAATGACACAGAGTTTGGTGATACACAACGATACATATTCGTTCGTCTCAGTGTATTGAGAGAGTATTTAGCCAAAGATCTGGTCATGACGGGCCTCACTTTTGAGTACGACTTCGAACGTGTCATTGACGATTGGGTTTTCATGTGTTTCTTTGTGGGGAACGACTTTTTGCCTCATTTGCCATCGCTTGAAATTCGAGAAAACGCCATTGATCGTCTAGTGACGCTGTACAAAAACACCGTGAGGAAGACAAATGTGAGTAATTTTTATCTACATCGAAGTTCTTGGAAAGCACGCTTTTCCTTGGTCGAGTCGGATCTGGTTCTGTCTTGGCCAGACCCTTAGAATAATCCAACTTGGGTTATTGCTCTTTTGGAGCTGGTACTCACGTTGAATAATTACTCTTCGTAACTTGTGTCAACTGAGCTGACTATTCATTGAATTATTCCGGAATTTTGATTTTTTGGGCGTATGAATTATCATCAGATACTTTTTCCGAATAGTAGAAAAACATGGATTGTCGGAAACGTAAAAAAAATTTTTAAATAACCCTTATGCCAAATTATCGACCTGAACTCGACTCCAACGAAAATGAACTTGCCATACGCACCCGAAGTAACGAAATACTGTGCTGTTATTGTTCAGATTCAAACGATCCATCAGTTTATCTGTTAGAATTTTGCGAAACTGTACTGATGCATCTCTTTCGTGACTTAAGCTGCGAGATTGCCTTCGGATCGAAAATTGAGGCATGAATAATGAATTCAACAGTTTGATTAGGCACAGATAATGAGATTCTACTTGCCAATCACCGTCTTTACGTGATCCAAGATAATTGAAAAACAAATTTAAAGAGGCTGAAAATAGTGTTCTCTCGAGTATTCATTCGTGAGAATCTCTCGAACAAATGCATATCCTTGCCAAGCATTGGTATGAGCAGCCAATTTTTTCACCGATCTTTAATTATAGCCCTGACTTGGGCATCCTCTCGTTGAAATATTTCAAGTGTTGAGTGACAGTCAGGTGAAGTGTGATTCTCTCCACTTTCCAGGGTTACGTCACTAAAAGCGGTGTGGTCCAGATGGATAAGGTACAGATCATCCTCTCCGAGTTGGGAGAATTGGAGGATGAAATTTTTCGGAACCGCCAGAACCGCGAGTTGGAATTCCGTCGACGGAACAAAAGGAATCAGCAGAATCAACATCGTGCTCCGAATTTCATTCCCGGTGGCCAGTTTGCTCCAAACGTATGTTGGTATTTTACTTGTTTGAGATTTACAAATTTTTTTCAATGTTTCGGCATCGTGTTTCAGGCGCTAGGTGGAGGAAAACTCCCTAATCCTTTGGCGAACGTTCAATCGGAAGGTATTGCAATGCGGCAGCAAAGTATGGGCATGAGTTCGATGACTGGACAATCTGGATCCGACCAGAGAGACTTGAAGGTGACGTTGACAAACAAATATCTATTTCACGGTTCATCTTGTACCAAAACTAGCTTTTTTTTAGTCTACTTCAATTTATCCTATAGACAAGGAGTTTGTCTGCTAAGTTCATACTTGACTCAGTGTGACTCGTTTTCCGTTTGAATGAAGATGCCGCTTCAAAAGTTAATAGCCATTAGATGGCTCCTTTAGCAATTACGTCAAGACGCCAGTATGTAATGAATCAATGTTGCCTACTTATGGCAAAAATAATGCCTCGACATTTTGAAAATTCAGGCGATGACACGTAGATAATTGGAATTAGATACGGCGATTAAAATCAAACACAGTGTGGCGATTATAATTGAAATTTAATGCGGCGATTAAAATTGAAATGAAATCCGGCGATAATTGGAAGGAATAATAGGTCGTCGTCTTGCCAGTCTACAACAAATTTTCTTGGGAGGCGAGTCTTTTGGCCTCTATTTTCAGTAATTTATTGTTACTTGAAAGAATGCATCGCGTTTTAGACAGATGACAAATAGCATATCAGAGATGACGTGTGAAACCTCAGATTCGAAACTTTTGTTACCATCCTTTTAATGTTCGAAAATCCTCCCTATTTTCTCTGTTCTCTTTGGTTCTCTGAATCAACCTGGGATTTTCTTCTCGAGACCTTTTTACCACTGTTGAAATTTTTCGTCGTGCATGTCCTTTCCGAAAATTCCGAAGGGTTCTTGGGTCATTTTGTACGCTTTTTTCGATGAGGAACGCAATTTTCTCTAATCGTAATTTTATATTTTCGTTCGACAGAGAGTCGCCTCTGCTCCCTTGATGCATGGCAACGATGAAGACGATGAGCCTCCAGATGAGGTTCGGCTCTGGGAAGCTGGCTTCAAAGACCGTTACTACGAGTCCAAGTTTGACTGCCCGAGTACCAGTGTGGATTTTCGGTACAAAGTAGCTCAGGAGTACGCGTACGGGCTTTGCTGGGTGCTACGGTACTACTACCAAGGCGTTCCGTCGTGGAAGTGGTACTTTCCGTACCACTATGCGCCTTTTGCATCCGACTTCATGGAGCTGACGAAGATCTCGAATGAGTTCGAAAAAAACACTAAACCGGTTGGTAGAATACAGTAGTATAATGCAGTACAGTACTGTATTTGCATTCGTTAAAATCTTTTCTTGGAAGACATTTCAATTCGGAATCGGATGATTCCGAAGTAAAGTAACGCACGGTACAGATCATAACTCGGATTAGTACTTCGGTTATCATGGCGAATGACCTGGTGCGCTTTTTCTCGGATAATTGAATACAATTGCTACTGATGATCATGTAGTGTATTGAAAAATTATTCTACCGTGATGTGAAATTTTGCGCAATTCTTGGAAGTTCTTCTGTTGGAATACTTGATAGATTTGACAAAAACCGAGGGGCGTGAATTGAAGTTATCATAATATTCATAAAGGCCGGTTAGTTTTGTTTCAATGAATCCATATTTCACGCTGAGTTCCTAATGCGTCTGGATGATTGGAGTTCTGCCGTTTTTTCGATTTTTCATTGTGAAGAAAGCGTCGTGCTGATTATTTAGATTAGGTGTGACAATACACTGTGTGTAAATTCTAAAAAAAATCGGAATTTCGGTGTTTATGCATGATAAATTGCATTAATATTTGTGATGAATGCGTGAAAGAGTTTTAGAAATTGCTTGAAACAGGAAAAGATAACGTTCCAAATAATCTACTTCTTGAACAAAATGTACCGTAAGTTAATCCCTGTGGACTGTTATAGCTTTCCTGGTGTGTGCACGCTCTGAACCAAGAAGCAGTTGGACCTTCAGATGAAGTAGTTTAAATACGACATGGCATTTTTATCTATATACAATATTTGTATCTACGATATTTCCCTACAAGAAGAAACACCTTATTGCTGCATAGGACGAAATATGTGATTTCTTCGTATGAACAAGACAATACGTGCAGTAGCCTTTAAATGTACGTTAGATCCACGATTTTCGAATGTTCGATGAAGAGTTTTTTTTTTTCTCGAGCTCGAATCAACGATGTAACGCTTTTTTTTCCTGGGATTTACCGTGAATACTTCGTTTTTTTCTTAGTTCAAACCTCTGGAGCAGCTGATGGGTGTATTTCCTGCTGCAAGTAGAGCTCACGTACCTGCTCCTTGGGGAGAACTCATGTTGAAACCGGTTTGTACAAGGCATTCATTCTTCGTCTTTATGCTTTTTGAAAAACTTTTGGATTTTCCGCCTTTATAGAGCTCACCGATCATTGATTTTTACCCGATTGACTTCAAAATCGATTTGAACGGAAAGAAATTTGCCTGGCAAGGAGTTGCCTTGCTACCGTTCGTGGACGAGAAGCGATTGAAGTCTGCATTGGAACCGTATTACGATTTGTTGACCGACGAGGAAAGTAAGATGAAACTCCTGTATTAACATTAAGTTTAAAAAAAAAATGCAGTTAAAAATGCGGACTAATGCTCATGAAGAACAAATGTGTCAGTTGCTTAGCGTATGACAGTGTTAAGGACTAATTAAACTATTCAACCGGAAAGCTTCTGTGAACACTGTATCTTAAAAAGCAAATGATTAAAGATACGTTGTCCCCGCCAATTATAAAAAAGTCCGTTTTCTGATGCCGTTTTGTGAAATTAATGCTATATATATTTTAACCCCTATTGCGCGTCATGTCCGGGGATGTTCAACTGCCTTTGTTGGCGTGTTTAATTGGAGATGTGGTTTCTCAGATTGATTTACATATTAATTTTCTAGTACGAAGGAATATTCGAGGGAAAGACCGACTGTATGTTCCCAAGAAACACCCCGGATTCGATTTTATCAATGAGCTTCAAGGAACCGAAGCCTTTGGACACGGTACAAAGGTTCCGATCAACCCGGACTCGTTCCATGGGATAGCTGGAATAATAATGCCGTCTAACGACTATGTTGAAATCGGAGGGTACGTTTTTGTGCGAAACTTACTTTTACTATCTTTTGTTGAATGTTCAGTATCTTGGTTCGCCTCCAGTACCTTCTTATTTTTGTCATAAGACCTCTCGGGTTTTGTCTGTACCGTAATGTGTTACCGTTTTTTGTTTGATCCACGTAATCGAAGTGGAGAAACGCGAGATCCATTCTTGGCCAAATGTTCGTAATTTTGCACATTCGAGTTGAACATGAAATGAAAGGTTGAAGGCTGTTCTCTGTTTTCAAATGATCCTTTTGATAACGAATCTTTTCTTGGCGGCGAATTGGGGGGAAAACTAACGAGAGAGTATCCAGAACTGTAATATTTTTGGGGAAATACAGAACTTGTCATGTAATTGTAATGTTACAGTATATGCTCAGATCAGCTCATCGTGCTATGTAATCTATTCACGATTTTGCTCGTTTGGAAACGGACGTTCAAAGCCAACTTTTCCCTTTTCCTCCTCGTCAGCTATTTGAAGCGTGTTTTATTCTCGGTGTCAGTGTTCTGGAATCGCCGGTGGAAGGGATGAAGCGGGTGAAGAATGCAGCTGTCGTGAGCACAAATTATCAAGACCCAGTTTATCCGAAAGATCATCTCTTTTCGGCGTCTCGGTTACCTGGTGCCAAGTGAGAAGCGAATTTGTTGGATTTTCGACTGCCGAGTGCATAAAAATGATATTTGTGTTTGTTTCCACGCAGAGATCCTCCGAATGCTCTCAAGCCGGAAGATTTTCGCGGGAATTATCGCCCCATGATCGGATTTGCGCGCATGGACCAACAAGCGAGTTTGGGTGATGCTGGTCACCGGTTCATCAGGTAATCCGCCATTTTTCATAATTGTGAAAAAGTAGTTGAAGTTTTCCTTCATATTCGGTGAATTAAATCGAACTTCGAAGATGCGCCATGCCAAATTTGAATAAATCCTTTGTTTCTGATTGAAGTAGTGACAGTGAAGCGGCGAGCGTGCCATGAACTCGTTAGAATCGACGATTCAAGATTACTAGTACAGTATATGTATTCCTTTTCACGGAAGATAGTTCAATTGGAAACTTTCGAATTGAAACGAATAATTCGCCATCTTTCAGCTGTGAACGACGCATTGGGATATTTTTTTTGCGTGGATTAATGGAGAAAATAAGTTCAGTACATTTTTCGGAACCTTTTATCCGGTCTTATTTTTGGGGGAAAATTCAACGTGTAATTCGAGATGGTATCAAAAGCCTGTTCTCTCTAATCCGGATCCGAGAGGGAACGACATAACCGATTACACCGTTCCGGTTTCACGTTCTCTCTTTAGGGGTTCCGGTGCCTTCAGAGGTGGTCGTGGAGGTTATGGCGATGGGGGAGGTGGAAATTGGAATCGGGATGGAGGAAGTGGAAACTGGAATCGGGGTGGGGGAAGTGGGAACTGGAATCGGGGTGGAGGCGGCGGAAACAACTGGAGAGGCAATTCCGGTTCTGATCAGAGAGACGGCTACAACTCCCGAGGGGGATATAATCAAAGGGACCAGAGGAACACGTATCAAGGGTCGCAAGGTGGTTACAATTCATCCGAGCAAAGGAGTAATTATTCGCGAGGTGGATACAATGCCGGAAGCTACAACAATCAGAGCTCCAACTACGGATCTCAGCGGAGTTCTGATCGAGGCGAGTATTGACTTGCTGCTTGGAAAATTGCCGTGTAATCTCATGGATGGTCATGTTATTTATTTGTTTTTACAGGCGGAGGAGATTCGTGTGGATCAAATTCACAGGTAAATTTTGAAATGTTTGCTAATAAATTTCCTTTCGCTCATTTAAATCTTGATTTCAGTATGGACAAGATCGATCCTCTCAACAGCAAGGCGGTCGTGGTGGTTCTGACCAGCGGTGGGGAAGAGATGATCAAGGTAATCGACCTCGATCATATTCTGATCAATCTTATCGTGGAGGCCGAGGAGGGTTTAACAACAAATATTGATTCATTCTTTTAATTCTTCACTTTATTTCCGCCAAGATTTTATGCTTAATTGGTTACAACTTGTTTGTTTGTTATATCTGAAGACAATTGTTCGGACGAGTGAAATAAAGAGCATCAAGTTCTCAGGATATAATCCGTTTAATTGTAAAAAACCAAATAAACAGAAACGCGAAGAAATGACTTCGGAATACAAATTTCAAATTCTCGCACAACATTATTATGTACGTAACACAGATTTCAAAAACTTGATCGAATTATGAATACTGACACCATCATTGGCATAAGCTATTGCTTTTAGCGACTTGCATAATTAACGTATTGAGATCAATTTCCACAGTCAACGTATCTTCAACATTTTTCCTCTAGAAAACAGGAACGCGAAGTACACAGAAAGGACTTCGAAATATTGTACAAATTTCAACTTCTCGCACAACTTCATTATTGTACGTGACACAGATTTCAAAAACTTGATCGGATTATGAATACTGACACCATCATTGGCATAAGCTATTGCTTTTAGCGACTAGCATAATTAACGTATTGAGATCAATTTCCAGTCAACATACCTTGCGCGCTTCTTTCTCTAGAAAGTATACCAACGACTTGCCTTATTGCATGAACACCCAAAAACACTGCTTCAAGTCGCGATATCAGTCCGATATCAAGTAAGGAATTCCCGGTTGACGTTTCCACGTCAGGAAGCCTGCCAGTATTCCTAGACAAACGCCCAATAGAGCCATGGAAAATCCAAGTCCCGCCATCGAACCTGAATCAGGTTCGAAAAAAAAAAAAAAGTGTGATCAGTTTGCAATCATCCAGACAAATAACTGGGTACATACAGATTGATCACTCAATGGAGCCCATAATTTTAACTCACGCTAAAAAGAAGTGGCCTGTCCACTCAATCGGTGACTTCTTCCATTATAAATGAACTAAATTATGGCTTTCATTGGGTGGTCGCTTTGCATCATTAACTTCAGTTGTTTGCAGTTCTTCCTAGTAAAATACTGTAAATTTATAATGGACAAGACCAAATGGCAATATGAAGGCATGTATGAGTCAAGTACAAACTACACTTCTACAGTATATCAACATTCGTATAGAACTTGTCCCGACTTTACCAGGAACCTCATTCACACAGTTTCAAATTGCAGTACTGTACTGTACTGTACTACCAAAACGCACTTTTCTGATACTGTGAAGATTAAATTTGGAGGACAGAATCAAGTCTGCAAAATTTGACAAGTCTATCGAAGTTCAATTACTGAATGCTACGCGGGGTGTGTTGCTGATGATTGCTCACCTGCTGTGTAACCAGCGTGGACGAATTTCGAATGAACGAAGTCCGGAACGACGCGCAAAGAGCCACTCTTCACCAAAACCTCCTAGGTAAAACCAGCAACAACCACAAACAATCATAACGAATTTGGGAATCAAAAACAGGCCGTCGATACTCACTCGTCTTTCATCTGGCAGAACGCTGATGTAAACGATCACTTCACGGGTGGACGACAGCAGCTCCGACAGGTCGTTGAATGCTTTATTCATCGTCCCTTCGGGCTTTTCGGCAGGCGGATTAACAACATTAGGACGTTCCAGCAAGACGAAGTACGCCTCTACTTCTCTCCGGTCTCCGCCGCTGCTCAGCTACAAATTCAAATAAAACTTCATTAGGTGATGCAGTAAACTTCACTCGATGTAAGATGCAGTTTTATTCTACCGAATTTTGGTTTATAAAATAGAAGTACGGCTCAGTGAAACTTCGATAAGCCGCCAACTCTAGTTTGTGGCGGGTTGGCGGTTTATCAGAAAAGCTAAAATAATATGAAAATTACGTATAAGGAGAAATATAATTTGCATTCCTCTAGAAAACAATCAGAATACTGTAACCCTAAGATGCGAAATTATATCTAACTAATGTTCCCATGAAGTAAAAAACGTCATCTTTGAGTTTGCGTTTTTAAAATTTTTATTGGAGACATCCCACAGAAACCTGAATCTCTTTGGCGGGCTACCGAAGACAAAATTAATTGTTAGAAGTATATTTGAGTTGTCTTCAATGCTTTCATCTCAAGTGAAGATTTGTTTCATAAAATAAATTGGCGGTTGCCAAGGGTGGCGGCTCGTAGCGGGAAGACATAACTTCGTCTGTTCAAGATCAAACTGGAATGAATTGACTAAAGCATGCGTAGAATCACAAGTACTGACGCATCTGATTTCGAAGAAATTGTACGCGAGAGAAAGTCTTAAATCCTTAGGCAAGATCTTTCCCATTTTTGACATGAAGTGCAATAGCTACTGTACATACAATAGGTGCATATTCTTATAGATTCAAGTAAATACAGAATATTGTAGTCTCATATCCCAACAGATCACAGGAACTCACGAAAACATCAGAAATCCTCAGCGGCGACACGGAAGCAATCCTCGCAATTTCTCGGCGAATCGAATCCAGCACCATGTCAAGATTGAAGCTGATTAAATCCGTGTAGCTCACTGAAACAAGCATCAAGTTGAAGTTAAAATACTGTACAGTATTACGCTTTTCAGTTTTTATTTAGATGCCGAACAACAAAAAGCGCGGAAAATTCACAAACCCCTTGTGTTTCCCTTCTTGAAGGAACAATTATCTTGAAAAACGCACAAGGTTAATAGCTTCATTTCTTAGATACAGATACAAACATACAATAACAATTTATACTTTCCTACGTCCACCTCATTTTTCAAAACGGATGAATACAGCATTCAAGTCATTATTACTGCACAAATTAATATAATCAAGTATTCCTCTTGAAAAAAAAAACGTACGCATTCCTGAAGGAATTCTCACATGGAGACTGCGGTGAAATTGCCAAAGAATTTAAAATGAATACCGATGGACTTCACAAGCATTTTAGAGGGATCTAGGACAAATTGAGACAGGGCCAAATTGAGAAAGATACTTTTGGAGACAGGGAAAATTTGAAACAGAAACTTTTCAAGACAAGGACAATTTGAGACAGATAGATTTTTAGACAAAATGACTTGTGTTTCTTTCCATTATCTTATGCTTAAGGTGTGAAAATGAACAAAAATTGCAGATTACTCTCCTCGTTAAGTTAGTTTTCGTCTCAATTTATCCTAATCTCAAAGTTGCCTTGTCTCGAATTGTTGTTGCTCAAAGTTGCCCTGTCTCAATTTTTTCAGTCTCGAATTTTCTGCCTCGATTTGTCCGTATCCCATTTTAGAGAGACGGAATCGTATTCCATTATACAGTACAAAGCACTTTTCTGAAGAGTAATAAGCATTTATACGGTACAGTAATGTACTTCATTATTCAATGCTGGAGTTGATTTTCCCATTTTTGTTTCAAACATTAAAAATCCCCAAGGCCCATGTACATAATCAAGACAAAAATTCGTTACGCCGAGATTACAGGTGAAAATCAGTTCATTTAAATAAAATTATCATAATATGGTTCTGTTAAGAAATTGCTGGGACCAAGAAGGTTCGTTATAATGATTTTTTTCAATAAAAAATGGGTTACGAAATTCGTTGAAACGGAATTTTATTGTGAAACTACTTTCCCCCTTCGAGATGCACGCATTACAGGCTTCAGACAATAATTGATAAACCAGCGTTTCGCACATGAACTCTAATTTGTCATCAGCAACAACACAAAAAAATTATTTCTCGCGTTCACGCGAAAATAATACACGAAACTCAACGAATTTCAACTCACCTTTCAGAGTTAATGCCAAGAACAGCCTCGAAATGCGGCTGAGACAAGACGTTACGTCGAAATAGGTCCACTGGCTGTGACCCACGGAATAGTCAAAGAAAAAGCTCTTCGCCACCTTCTCGAATTTTCCCTCGCTCGTCTGTGAACAAATATCCATCACGACTATTAAAAAAAATGTCCACAAAAGCAAAACAAGAGGGGCATCGCACGTTTCTTGTTGCATGTGTGATGACTCCGAGCGGGACTCGCTTCTCCAGATTCAAGACCTCGACTTCAATCGTCCATTTGGGGTGTGCGAATAAAACTTCGACAGTTGAATAGTATCCATCCGATTCCCCTCGTTCTCCGACCCACACCTCGCAAACTACGCCTCTCACCGTCCTCTGTAAAATATAAAAACATGGACGAAAACTTATTTCAACAACTTTGCCCCGCTATACACAGTACATATATAGACTAATATTCTACATATGGAACTAAATGCAGTTTATGCAGGTGGACTCTCTCTACAACGACATTCAAGGAACCAGAAAATAATTAGTTGTAGAGAATCCCAATGAAACCAAAAACAAAACTCGTTATACAGAGAAAATCGTTGAAGAGTGAGTCGATGTGTACAATTACTGAATTATAAATCGTATTCTAAATTCCTAGACTAAAATTTGAAGATTTAAAAAAGTTCGACTTTATCTTGAACCTACTTCCGAGATTTATCTCATTTTTACCAAATTTTTCTGAAAATTCAAGTAAAAAAAGGAAAACCAAAATTATCAGTTTCTCATTTCTGATTTTCAAGGGACCGCATGAAACAAAATACAATAATGCTAAAATCACGTGAAAGCTCATGGAGTCAACATTTCTCGGAACTTGAATTAAATTTCAAAGCATTCATAATTTTCAAGACATTGCAATTCAAATAAAAAATTTTAGAGGAAGACTTTTTCATTGTAACTAAAGCGACAACAACAAGACACATGAAAATATAAGCACAACTTCTCAAAAGCAGTTGAAATCGACGTTTATTCGACCATGATTTCAATTTTTCCCAATCGCCTGAAATCGATCAACAATTTTCTGGGCTACGCCGGACCAGCAAATGTCAGTGGAAAAAATAAAATAACGTTACTCAATTACGGAGAATTTAACGAGCACAAACCCCAAATCTGCCATTCTGTCCGATTTTTCTCAACTCAGTTCACACAAATTTTCAGATAATGGACTTCCAAAATTCCTAATTGAACGGATCAAGTCCCCTTGGACGAATACCTTCTTATGAACCGTTTAAAGCTCAGTATTGTAGACTTTCTAGTCAGTTATCCCAAAAGCACACGTTTTACAACTCACAAGTCCCCAAAAGGCCAAGTAGCGAGAGCCCAAAGTGAGCAGTTCATTCGCGTGCTTGATTTGAACATGGTGATTCGACAAAGGGACGGCATCAACAGCAACGGATGGGATCGTCTCTACACTGCAATTCTGGCTTTCTTCGTTGATTGTGTACTGGATCCCAGACTGGAAATCGTGGACGAGCCGATAAGGATCAGATCCTTTGTGGAAACCCCCAAACAAGTTTGAGAACAGGAATCCTCCGCGAGTAGAAGAGTGCAAGTGCGGACGGTATCTATACGAAAGCAACTTTTCCACGGAATCAAAGTGAAGCGTCTCGTAGCTCACAGTTTGGATGTCCTGTGTTGATGATGAAAATAAAAAAATGAACAACGATGAAAACTCGTTAGTGTTCACACAATTGGAAAACCTCGAAATACACTTGAACTTCTCCAAGTCAGATTCAGAGAGACGCACGTTAATTAATTAGTTTTTGAGTCGGGGTAGCCCACTTGACAGTTGACTTGAATGTTGATGTTTTCTCTTACACAAAACGAAGAACCATAAAAAAAAAAATTCGAAAACATTTCGAAGCGGGAAAAAGTTGAAGTTTAGAAACATTTATAAAAAAATTTGTACCCGACTATGACGCGAGTACATACGCCCAATTTCTTGACAAGAAAAAAGCGTCTGAGAAACGCGCAAAAGGCATTTTTCGAAAAATTGCAATTCTAAAAAAAAAACACACACACGCAGCGAATCATTAAATCCTCCGTTCAATAGTAAACTCACCTCGAGCACAGTTTCGATATCGAACGAAAACTGCTCCGCCAACGGAGGCGGGCGATACGTGGAATGACCCAACGGCGGACAAAACACTCCCGCGGGCGGCGAAAAGGCCGCCGAATCTCCATCGGGCCCCACAAAGTCAGACACATTCTCCGAATACGACAACACGGAATATTGCAGCTTCATCGAGTCGCCGGCGGGAACGTCAAAGACGCGAGACGCCGTCTTGATGGACGCCTCAGCCAGGACCCAACGATGCGAGGCGCCCTTGGGCAGGAACAAGGCTTCGACTGTAGCATCCCGGGACTCGTAGCGACCAGACAACACCTGATGCGACCGGAAGGCAATGGTTTCCCACGTCGTGTTCGGAGACGCGAGAAATTTCACGATGGACTCGAGGTCCACGTAGGGACGACACGCGGAATGGGCGTCTTTCCCCGGCGGCATCCAGCAATGACATCGGGCTTGGAAGTTGCCGCCTGCGGGCGTCTGGTTTTTGCACTTGACACCTGAGGAATACCACACCCAAAATACCTTCAGAACCATATTTACAATTTTTCAGAACACTCCGAAAGGCAAATAATATTACGAGATGAGTTGAACCTCCGTAAGTCGAATTTCTAGGGACCAGAAATAAAATTTGACGGAAGTTTTGATTTTTGCAGGTTTTGAATTAAGGAAGAAAGAATTCTTGCTGTGAGGATTAGTAAAAAAAAATTGCAGGAAATTGTAAATGAGAAGATTCTGGGCCTAAACTTGCCTCTTGATGAGTTTTTTCTGTGCTGGACTTGGAGGCAGGGGTTCATTTGCTAGATTTGTATTTCAATTCCTTCCAAAATGCATCAAATTATTTGTTTTAATCAATTTCTCTCTCATATTTCACAGAAATAATAACCAGAAGGCCTCAGAAAATTCGACTTACAGAGGTTTTAGGAAAAAAGAATTCGAGTTAGGGAGGTTTTTAATGTATTGATTTTAAGGGAATTTGGACCGGGACTTGAAAAAAATTCGATTTAGGGAGGAATTCGACTTACAGAGGTTCGACTTATCGAGGTTCACCTGTACTTAATTATTCGCAGTTATCATTTTTCAACTTAACCTATCCCAATCTTGCACGTGGAAACTAAAATGTTCTAAAAATGTACATAATTCACAACCATCTTCATAATTAATAAAATATTAAAACACCAAACACGAAAAAAAATCAAGGTTGTTCAACTGTAATATTCACCATGTACAATGTGTCCCGAGGCGGAAGTCTGATTAAAAATGCACTTGGTGTAAGGCAAGGGATTTCCGGTCAACTCCAGCGCTTTCATTTCCCCCACACGATATTCCTTCACTCGCCACTCGTTCATCCCGTGCAAATCTTGCACATACACGTCAAAGGCGTATTCCGCAGGCAAAAACACGTTTTCGGAAATACTGTCCAGCTGGATCCGCGTAATCTGACTTTCCGGCTTGCTTGTACATCTTACGACATGCGAACAACTCACGACCACAAATACAAAAATCCATAGGGTACCGGAAGCCATCTGTTGGGGGAAAAAAATAAGAGAAATAAGTTTAAAATTTTACCAACAGCATAAGCGAGACATTTTTTCTCTTCTTCTATTCAACAACCACAAAAACTTTGAACAGAAATACGCAAAAATGGGATCATTCTCTTCATTTCCGCCGAACGATGAACACATTCACTCAACGATTCTCTTTATCCGGGGAAAATAATAAAGCAATCACCAGTCCAACTAATGCATACTTGGGCATCCTCATCAAAACTCTCAATGATACGCTTCGAAAGGCTTTCTGAGCTAATTTTCGGATGTGCTCCGTAAAACAAAAACAAACTTCAACGAACCACTGAAAATATAAAAAGTCACTCCCTTTTTTCTGGGTGCCTATTTAAGGATGTAGCGAAAAAAACATTTTTCCGAAGGCTTTTTTCCCCGTTGTAGTTCACTTTGGCTGAGACTCGAATACGTCTCGAAACAACGCAAATAATTCAAAATTAAGAGAAATATAGGGTGTCAAAAAAAGTTGCTGGGCGGTGGACAATTCGCAATCCGAAATATGGGTTTTGCCAACTTATATTTAGTACACTGCAAAAACCGACTGCACACGGGTTCTTCGTGTTACGCAAAAAGCTGATTTTCCATAAATTAACGAAGAATTTTTTTGGCTTAATATGTTTCAAGGAATCCTATCTTTGTGACAAATGTCACCAAAAATGTTTATGAAATTCCGCATGCGGTTTATCCCAGATCTGAAACGCACAAGGAGAAACTGAATTCTCCACCACACAACAACTTCTTGGACACCCCACGCAAAAGTGATAATCCGCCGCCATCTGACATATTTTTCCTTCGAAGTATCCTTCACCCCAAACAGAGCCTCACCAAGGGAAGGAATGCAAGTACGAGTGCATTTATTCTATGCGACCATCACATACTCCGTTCCATAAAACCGTAACTTGCCAACACCGGTAGACAGACAACGTCTGAAGCGCGCCGAGTAAAATCCGTCGGCATGACGTACGCGACGAATTTCCTTGATTTTCCTTAAGGGAATTTCCTCTTCTTACTTTTACATTCATTTAAACCCTCGAATGACGTAGTTATCATGATGTGATAGCTCAGGGAGAGCGCCATTTGAAATCAGATGTGACTTTGAGGGCGTATTTCAACTTCGAAGAATCAGTCCTTGGTTTCCTTGGCTGATACAACTTTCCAACCAATCACTCTTCGGTCAAAGCCACACGTGAAGAGATTTGCCGTGCAGGACAATTCTGGAGGAGCCCAAGCCGCGGCACAAACCATCCTTCGGTGGCCCTGAAAGAGAAAAGCAACAGTGATCCATAAAAACAATGCATCAGGAAAGATTGATTTATTTCCAAAACAATGCATCAAGAAAGACTGATTTATTTCCACGCGCCGAGGAAAAAAAAACAGCGAGGGGATTACCTATTACCACTATACAACCATACGTGATTCAAAATACAGTAGGATGTGTAAATGACTTTTCCAACGGAGTTTCAGTGAAAAAACCAAGTGTATAAAAACAGAAACCCGACCTGTCCTTCGGATGGCGAAAAAAAATATTTCATAAGGACTTTAAGGAGTACTGAAGTTATAGAAGTGTACATATCAAGTTGAAACAGGGGCATTCGCGGATTTCTACAACTCTTGGATCACGAGCGATGAAAAATGTTATCACATCAAATCGCAAAAGAAAATGTCGAAAAAATTATCAAAAAATAATGAAGAGAAATACAGTAAAATCTCGTTACAAAAAATATTTCTTGCGAAGAATTGGTCTTTTCTGTCCCTGTCCATTATGCAACAATATAAATTACGTTTGATTCTTTTTAACAGAAATTCTTTTCAATATTCCAAACGCTTCGTTTTTAAGAGATTCTACGGCTTGTTTCATGAATTTCACTCACGAATCTAATGCGCCCGGGATATGACGTGCCCCGCTTTAAAAAAAAAAAAAAAAGCGCTTTTCCCGTATTTACTCAAGTGCCACGTGCATCTTTTTCTCAAAATTCCGATGGAAAAAAGCTACAGGAAAGGTTTGAGCGTTATACTGTATGTGGGAATGTGCTCTCGGCAAAGTTTTAGAAGTTTAGGTGGGCAGTATATTTGATTCGAATGGGAACTTTTTGGCCTATCTCAACATAAATCTTATTGTACTGGAATCAATAGAAAATTATTTGAATACAGGTTCAATTCATGTTTAAATTCAAATCGGTGTGATCTTATTTTTAAAATATTGTACCTGTAGTCACTACAAATGGGGTGAGCGATTCAATCGAGTGAATAAGGTAAACGTTCGAGTACATACAGTACACGTTCGAAAGGGCTTTCACGGACGAACAATCGATAAAACATTCAATACCTGGCGACTGCTTCTCGGCAGTCGAGCGAGTCGTTGTCCCGAGACGTCATACAATCGAATGTGCCGGTTGTCGTGAGGTATTGCGATGACTCCCGTAGAACTAACGGCCAACCTGTTGGCCGGGGAATCGAGCTGAATGGCGGCCTGTGGCGAGCGCATGTTCCTTAGATCCCAAACTTTCACAGTCCTGTCATCCGAGCCCGACACGGCTCGATCGTCTTTCAACAGAACAGCTGACGTCACCGGTCTACAGCAGTGAATAAAATTGAACAATCGATGAATTCACGACGACCATTTTCTCCAGAGGAAACAAAATATGGACAGATTCATGAAGGCAGCCAAAGCACAATTCATAACTATCTCACATCATGTAGATCGTGCTTCGAGAATAAGCTCTAATCAACATCCGCATTTTTCAAATCTGACTGGTTTGGAATCTACAGTAAATTGAAATTAAAATTCGAGATACTGTCAACTGGTTTTACAGAAAATGGTTATTGAAGCGATTTCGCGTTTTAGTCACTGAAAAAGGGCAAAACTCATGACATGAAAAACAAATAAAAAGCTATCAACCAGTCTACACACATCGTGGGAAAACGAAAACAATTTGGCCTCCGACTCAACATGAAAGAAAGCTTCAGGAATCTCCTAATCCACGTGAGATAAAAATCATACTCACTCAGTATGACCCTGGAAAACAGACACGGAGTGGAACGGGTCACGGAAATCCCACAGCCTAAATGTGGTATCTTTGGAACAAGTCACTGCCATCTGATGCGTTGGATGACTGCAAACATACGTCAACTCCGCATCGTGTCCTGATAAAGAGAAAAAATCCTCACGTAATCTCCAACGATGAAATCGAAATAAACATCAATTACCAGGAAGCGAAAGAATCAGGTCGCCAGTTTCTGTGTCGTACAAGTTCGCAGTGCGATCCCAGGAAGCAGTAATGATGCGACCTGACCCTGGTAGCCAATCTGCGGCTATCACAACTCCAGAATGTCCCCTGGAAAAATAAATAAAAATTAAAAATACTTTACAGTGGTACACACAAAACAAGAATTGATAAAAGGAAAAAAATTCTTGGAAAATCCGGAGTGAATACTGTAACAGTTATTGAACCTCTGGAATTCAGAAGTCCGGAAAATAGTATGAATCCTCTGCTTCTATTTTCATAGCGAACAGCAGGAGAACAAATCGTAGCGTAAGTGTCCTATAAAAGTAAGAAACTTCACTTGAACCGAAGCCCATACGGAAAGCTCTGGTTTAAAATTACTGTACATTGAAGCGGGGTCAAATTGCGTGGTGATGGGATTTTAAATTTCAAAATAAAACCAGAATTTACTTTCTAAAATGCCACTCAGTCAGAAACTTTGTCTCTAATCCCACGAAACGAAACTAATTTGAATTAACTCAACATAACTGAGCTTATTCAAACTGACAAAACATAGCCCGAACAACAAAAGAAAAATCCCAACATGAACACAACAAAAATGTCGGAAGAACATCAAGCGACAATTACGTAATACGGCAGCAAAATAAAATCTTCGACTGAGTAACAATTAGATTTTCAATACAGTACATGAAAAACTAAATAAAAGCGACATGCCTGAAAATTTGAAGGTAGTTGGCGATTTTTTGAACCCCTCGGGGATCTTCGGAATCCTGTTCCACCGCAGTTGCGTTCATCGAGCCACCGGCGAACAACTGGCCAGAATCCTCATCAAGTTCTTCTTCCGAGGAAGCTTGTTGTCCAATGTTTCTCTATTCACAGACAATACAAAACAACTTCAAGGGAAGCACAGCCATTATCTTATTCTTTCTCCCACGAAATTATTCCAAAATCTCTGCTCGCACGGATCAACACTGATCACTCACTTGCTCAGAATTAATAGATGGTCGCCAAATCTGCGCAGTTTGGTCGCCACTCGCGGACAAAACGAGATCTTGCGTCGGATGGAAAACCACTGAGTTGACTGATCCAGAGTGACCAACATACTGCGACAACAGTTTCGTGGTCTCTGCATGCCAAATGTACGCTTTCTGATCTATTGAAGGGAAGTCTCAGCTTCAATCAATGTACTCGTTATTTGAAGAATCACGTGAATATATTCCTAGAAAGACGTGGGCTTTTCAGGAAAATCCACTTCAACTACCAACCAGGGGAAGTTTATAGAACTTCAGGCAGGTATCGCTTTTAACCTCCTTCCGTGAAAAATTCGACCATCGTAAACTTAACCCAACATGAGCCATCTCGTTCAGGGCTAACTGAAACCAGCCCAACGTAAACAATTCAAACAGACACAACCTCAATAAACTCAACGCCATTTCAGAAAACACCTGCGACTTCTATCTTGAGGGTTTGAAAAGTTCATACATTTAGCAACACCAATATTTATTGGGGACACCTTTTTTTGTGATCAGGAATAATTTGCTTTGCCTTCATGATCAATTTCATTCCCTCACTTGAAAATATTCCCCTTGGACGTTTTTCGTACTTCTGAATAATCAACATGGAAATAGACAATAAAAAATCGTATTTAATTGCGTACATTTTTTCATAAACTTGAAAGGGAAAAAAGAGGTGCGTATTATAAGGGGGTATAAAAATGTAGGAAAAACTTTAGAAGTTAAGGAGAGCGTGATATTTGATTCCAACGATACATGTTTGATTAATTTTAAAAGGAAATGTACCAAAAATTGTAACAATTGAAAATTGATTAAATTCATCTAAAAATTTGTTTTCAGGAGTATCCGACTTGATGAAATATTTCAGTTTTTTTCTCGCTAAAAATTGGGTGTGCGTCTAATTCGGCGATGGGATAACATCAAAATTTTAGGCAGAAAAATAAATTTGCGCATCTTACTTGAAAGCGCGAGGTACTCAGGTAAATACGGCAATGGGTTTTATGTTAATCTAGTTACAGAGAAAAATACAACTGCGAAACGTAGACTTATTCCTCGTATTTTAAGAAGGATTACAAACCAGCTGATGCCGTTGCTATGATGGGAGCGGTTTTCGAAGTCGCCACATCCCACACGCCATCACGATGTCCAAGAAATTCAGCAACCAGGGAACAAGTAACCAAAGGTGCTCGAAAACTTGAAACGATCCTGCTCGTTTGTACTTTCAATTTTTGAGCCGGCTTGATCTTCTGCACCTGACCAACTTGCACGAGAACACCACAAAAAACACAAAATCAGTTGCCAACAAATAACTATTCGAGATTACTTGAAGAAAGCAAGAATGATATTTCAGACAGCCAAGAGACACGTCAGTCAACGATCTTCAGCGATTTTTTGTTAGCGAAACCATGGTCCCATTTCTTGTCATCATCTGAATAAAAACTCACAATGAGCCTTATACATTAGATTCGTTGCGTACCTTTTCCCTTGGGATGATCAACATCCGACGTCGTAATGGAAGTTCTCTGATCGCCACTCGCACTTTCTTTCTCCAGAAGCTCGTTTCTTTCCGATACTTCATAAAACAAAAATCAAGATACAGTATTTTCACTTCACCCAGGATTCCTGTGATGATCGAACGAACGAGATTCAACTCACGTGCAAGATTTTCCAGGTACAGAGACTCGAACTCTTTTTCAATTTGATGGAACAACGAGTGGAGACGAACGCGGAACTGAGCAGGTAAAGCGCTTTCAGCGTCTGCATCACCTGAAGATCGCAGGAATGCTGCGTCCGAGTCTGTGTGACTCCTTGCTCGGCCAGTTGCGCGTTTTGCTTTGATGCCCTTGCGCATCCTCTCCACATTCCATGCTTCGTGGAACTGAGGCATGTCGACTTATTTCTTTCGCATCGAATGAAACACAATATTGAACCGAAGAGACACGGATTAGTTTGACACTGTCACATCGTTTCTAGACAAGGTGGGATGAGAAAATTTTTGGGAAGCTTAAGGTCTGTGTTATAACTTTTTTATAGTTCTATTAAGTGTTTTAATGCGTAAGTGCGCTTGGTCTCAGTAAATGCTTATTAATCGGACAGCTTCACTTTTTACAAAGCTCGGTTAACTAGTAAATGTTGATAATCGCTTCACGATCACCCAGGAACTAAGTTGTACTAGGTTACCAAAATAAAATATGAGCTCTATTAAAAATATTCTCCAACGTAATGCATCGCGACAATTTTCGAGCCAAAACTAGTAAATGTTGATAATCGCTTCACGATCACCCAGGAACTAAGTTGTACTAGGTTACCAAAATAAAATATGAGCTCTATTAAAAATATTCTCCAACGTAATGCATCGCGACAATGAACTGCATTTTAGGGACTTGCTTCAATTTTGAATTTAAGTTAACCGTACAAGGAACATTATGAATCTCATTGCACTTGGGAAAGCTAGACAAGAAAAAAATTGCAAGACCCTTCATTAAATTTAAACTTGAAATTAGAAGTTTTCGTACGTAATTCACACGATGCTTTTAACAATTCCTCGTGGGATGAAAGATATCCATTGAGTAAATAGTGGAAAATCGATTACATGGGCTCTTGGCATGCGAATTTTGAGGTTTCATCGATTTTGACGCGAGTCTTATTTTTGGTGTCGAAGTCGGAAAATGTAGCGCAGGAAGTACGCGTGAATACGGTAATTATACTCTATTCTGAGATCATTGAATATTTTGATGATGAATAAAAAATGTCGCATATTCATTTTCGATCTTGCAAAAATCAAAACTTTTTTGAAATTATTAGACGTCGTAAACGTCTATCCATTAGGAAGGCCGGTTAGCAGCTCCGAACAAAGTCGACTTGTCGAAGGTCGAAACCTGTCAGGCACTAAGACACTGGGTTTGGTGGCGTCAAACTGCAACCACGTTCGTCTCCGATTTCCAAATACTTCTCGGCTTCGGACTCCAACAAGCGTAGGAATGGAGGAACCTCTTGTCGTGCTTCATACAACAAGTGCTTCAAATCGAGTAGGACTGTAAGAACCGTGCAAAACAACTGCTTGCAACAACGTTGAGGCCAGAAAGGGCTAGCTGGACATGCTGGCTAAGACACCTGCATCAAGAGCTACAGAAGGCCGTACAGTATTAATTATTGCACAAAATAATCCGGAAAATCAAGACCTGAAAAAACAACGGTTTATAGCAATATTTTTTTTTTCGGAACAGAATCAATCGAAAATGCAATCCACGAAGAAAGCGATAATGATGCGAGATACAATACTGTAAGGGAACATTCTTCGAACTTTTCCCGGCCTTCGTATAGAACAGGTTTTTCTGGATTACATTTTACAGGCTGCGTGTGAATAAGCGAGGATAATGAGAAGCATAGTCAAGAACTTATAAAAACACTCGCAACAACAGAAAGAAGAAAAAGGAAAAATTAAGAGAGGGATTCATTGACAGCATCCCATTGAGAATGTGTTTTTTTTTTCAATATATCGTTCCATAGCACGGTATACAAATTCAATCTTCAAATGTTCACAAAAGCCTCGTAAGGGACATTTGACAATGTTTTTAGTACCTTTAGTTGTGTGGAAATCTGCGTTGTAGACAGCGATGTTCCTGTAGGAAGAGAGGCGAGAACTTGCGATCTTGTCTTGGCCTAGCAAGGCTAACTAGGAAGGGAGGCACTTAGCGCTGTCGTACAACACCCTAAAGAATGATAAATCGTCATCAAATGAATTACACTTGAATTAAATACACATATGAAAACGAAGACCGACCTTCAGCAAAAGATATTCATGAATTGCATCGACATCTTGCTTCTTCTCCGCAAAAATCAGCACGGGAGGCTGAGTTTTCTGCAAGCAATCCAACAAATAGACCATCCTCGCTTCTTGCTTCACGTATTCAACCTGCTGGATTACATTCATCGACGCCGCACCGGCTCGACCTACGTTCACCGTCACAGGTTGAACCAACGCAGATCGGGCAAAATTCTGTATTTTCTTGGGCATAGTGGCGGAGAAGAGTAACGTCTGTCGCTGAGCCTTGAAATACGAAAATATTGTTCGGATGTCTTCTTCAAAGCCCATATCGACCATTCTGTCAGCTTCATCCATGCACAGGTATCGACAAACGTCCAGACACAGAATTTTCTTGTCGAGAAGATCCATCAACCGACCCGGAGTTGCAACCGCGACGTGAATTCCTGCTCTAGAAATACAATAAGTTCACTGTATCTTGCATCATCAGACACTGTCACGTACAGTAATAGATTTAAATTATCAATTTTCCAATGATTTCGGAGAGTTCACGAGATATAAGCTGTCAATTTCAAATAAACATGACTTTTCAGCCAAGACGTAAAATTGAAATCTTGAAGCAAAATTAAAAAGCACCACACGTCTGGGTATAGTTTTTCCAGCATGCACACACGAAGAAAAATTACAATGTTTTCGAACTCCTGCTTTCTGAAGAGACAGTTCATGGTTTGAACTTATGCATGGACCATGGAGCTATCCCGATCATTTAAATATGCTCTTGATATTGCACACATTTTTTTGGATTACCTCATAGGGGCATTTCTCATGCGGATCCCAGACATTTTCAAAGGTCTTGCAAGACACAAAAAGTTATGACAGCAAATGTAATTTTACCTGATGAGATCCTTGGTTGGATTGACAGGCTCCCCGCCAATTATACGCGCACAGCGCAGCTCAGGCAAGCCAGATCTCTTCAACTGAGATGCGTAGAATTCGAACACTTCGTGTGTTTGTTTTGCCAATTCACGAGACGGGCATA